GCTTCCTCAAGAGGATCTTTGTAAAACGTACTCCTTCATGGCTCCACTCGGCTCCTCTGTGCTCTTACCGTGCAACTTCTCTACAAGTGGCCTCAGCTGGGCCATCTGGGCTCATGTAGATGACAAGAACCACGTGGTCAATCTGACCTCTAACAGCCGAGTTCAGTTCTTGGACCCCAGACAGGGCCGGGTCAAGGCCTTCCCAAACCAGGCCTCAGTGGGGAACTTCTCTATCTTGGTGGATGAGCTGAAAACGTCAGATCTGGGGTCTTACAAGTGCAGGACGGAGAAGAACTGCATTGAAGTGAAGCTACAAAAAGCAAAAGGTTTGTCGCTGATGAGTCCGTTAGTTTGAGCTTGTAGCTTTAATGTCTAACTCTTCTGGTCTGATGTCCGCTCCGTCACAGTTTGTATTTTTAATGAGACAACTCTGCTCCAGACACAAACATCAACTCTGTTTAATCTCAAAAATAAAATCAGTTTTTTATTAATACACCATATACTTTTAAAGTGACGTGGTACTGAGAGACAAAATGTCAATTAGCTGAATCTCAGCAAACCAAATTTTAGCTCTGTGCTAAATCCAGAGATTACAGAAAGGAAGAATCAACAACAGAAAAAAAATAAAATTAAAAAACAGAGACAATAAAATCATCTCTACTGACATTATGGTAAATAACATGTTGTCTGAAAGGATGATGATGATGCAATGAGAGATTATTTATTTAATTTTTTAACATCTAAATTAGGTAAATTTATGCATAAACATCTTTATTGTTGCATTAAGGAGTTAATTTTTTTGCTAATTAATGACATTTCATTAAACAATAACTCCTCTTATTGTCTAATCATATAAAGTCCATTTGTTGCTATTGTGTTAGCCTCTCATGCTGTCTTTATTATAATAAATTATACGTAAAGTTGCTTACTACTGTATTTTGAATTAAATAATTTTAATTGATATACAACTGTTATAGATAGATGAGTGCAAATTCTTTGGTATTTTTTTAATTTGTGATTATTTTTTATTTATGTTGTGTATATTTTATTTGAACATAGAAAGCTGTTGTAAACTTGTTATAATGTTTATCCTCTCAGGTGAGCAGTTTGATGAGGATCTTTGTGAAACAAACTCCGGCAGGGCTCCTCTCAGCTCCTCTGTGCTCTTATCGTGCATCTTTTCAACACACGGTGATAAATGGGTGAACTGGACTCACTTAAACAGCGGAGTCCTGGTCCGACTCTCATCTAATGGGTGGGTTCAGTTCCCAGACCCCAGGCAGGGCCGAGTTAAAGCCTCAAACCAGGACTCAGTGGGGAACTTCTCCATCTCCATGGATGAGCTGAAGGACTCAGATCTGGGGTCTTACTGCTGCAGAAGCAGGGATAAATGCTTTCTGGTGGATTTGGTGGAGGACAAAAGTATGTGGTGCTCTGTGTCTGGGTTAAGACAACGCAGCAGCCTGCTCAGAGGCATGCAGCTTCTTCTTTTCGAGGCTCACAGACCTCAAAGGTCTACAGCCTAACAGAGGACCAGAATGAGCTGTTGTTTCCTGTAAAACATCTTTCTGAAACCACAACTTGCTGTGCAGGTGCGCTCGATGGAGATGCATGGCGACTGATTTACATCTGCAGTGGAGCAGCTGCTCTCATCCTGCTCTGCGTCGTCGGCTACTTCTACTGGTTCAGACATGCAGGTGAGCATCTGTGACTTTAAACAAAACCTGAGGTTTAATGTGGGATGGATTCAACCGACATGCTGCATGTCTTTATTCTATGTATGTATGTATGTGTGTATGTGTGTGTGTGCGTGCGTGCGTGTGTGTGTGTGTCTGTCTGTCTGTCTGTCTGTCTGTCTGTCTGTCTGTCTGTCTGTCTGTCTGTCTGTCTGTCTGTCTGTCTGTCTGTCTGTCTGTCTGTCTGTCTATCTGTCTATCTATCTATCTATCTATCTATCTATCTATCTATCTATCTATCTTTCTTCAGAGTTCTTTCTTTCTTTCTTTCTTAAGGGCTGTGGAAGAAAAGAGAACATGAGAACTCAAAGTTCAGGTCAAATCTTTTTCTGCGCACATGATGATTTCCTGGATTAATTTATATTTTTATACACAGGTGTGCAAAAAATTTGAGTTCTACATAAGGAAGGACTAAATCAAATTCCTTGCTTATTGGCCTCCCTTTCATTGTGAAGTCTAAACATTTCAACCAGATCTTAAAGTTTAATAGTTTTACTGACAAGACATAAGGGAAAATACAGAAAACTGAACGTGTGTTTGATGAGTCAATAATCGAGCAGAGCCTCCATGATTATTTAACATGAATCATTCAAATTTATTTATTCTGATTTACTGTCATTTATGCTGTGCAGGAATGTTCAGATCTTTAAATGAGGTTCTGTGGAAAGGATTTGAACAATTAATATCTTACCTGTTGCACGTAGTTCTTTGAATGACCACAGCTTAGAAAAATAGAGTTTAGTCCTGACTGGACTGAAGAGCTAACATCTAGTCTGAGCTGAGACAAGAGCAGGTCTGAAACAACTCCATCCTCAAACATTTCATGCAAAATTTTATTTTATTTTTTTAATAAATGCAGATTGATTTGAATTACATTGCTACTTAATCTACATAGAATTGGCTGTTATATACAAGGAGCTGCATGCCAGCTGCTGAAAGAAGCAAAACTGTAAAATGGAAAAGGAGCAAAGTGTTAACTAAAAGCTAAACATAGCAACATGGTGGCTATATGTATTGAAAAAGTAGCTAAAATGAGGAAAACTGTAGCAAAGATAAGCTAAGTAGTATCTGAACATATAAAAAGGTGCTATAGCTAAAATCAGCACAACTATAGCTAAAAGAAGCAAAATGGCAGCTAAAAATGTAAATGAGCAAATTGATAACTAAAACCTAAACCAAGCAGAATATGTGGCTTAATGTTTGAGACGGTGCTAAAATGGCATAACAGAAGCTAAACGTAGCAAAACAGATGTTAAAGCTAAAATAAGCAACAGAATACATTCATTCCATCCATCATCTTGTTCTGGACTCAGGTCACGGGGGAACAGCTTGAACATGGAGGTCCAAACATCTTTTTCCACAGCCTCCTCTTCCAGCTCTTCTGGGTGGACTCCAAGTTGTTCCCAGTCCAACTGAGAGACTTAGTCTGTCCAGCGTGTCCTGGGTCTTCCCCAGGGTCTCCTCCTAGTTGGACATGTCCAGAGTACTCCCCTAGGGGGTGCCCAGGGGGCATCATTAACCAAATTACCCATCAGTGCCCGAACCTCTGCTGGCTTCTCTGGATGTGGAGGAGCAGCTAAAATTGATGAAACAAATGCTAAAATCAGCCAAACTATAGCTAAAAGTAGCTAACTAGACAAAACCTAAAAATGGCATAATAAGATAAAAATAATATGCTGGAGCAGATTTCAAAGAAACAATTATTTTGAATGAACTGAAGGGATTTCTTTGTATTTATATGGGGAGTTTATTTAGAAATATTTAGGTTTTGAAAAATATCAAGGTCACAAAAACAAGTTGTAGCACAATATTCCCAGCTGAATCTTTTGATGTAAAAGAGTAAAATAGCACCAAGTATGAACAACACTGTTAATGCTGACTCAGCTTTCTGTTGGAGAAAAACATTCTCGCTCACATTGTTTACTCAAAAAGAACCACACTGGACGGCAGGAGAAGACTTTTAACCAGGATTTTATTTACAAGGTCAGATTTTCAGGACAGGTTACATAAATATACATCAAGTACACACATGAAGACGAGTCACGAGGACCTGCCTCGAGCTGCCCCCTCCGCTCACTTTTATACCCTTATCAGTTCAGACAGGAACCCAGGAGGTGTCCTTGGAGGCAGCTGCAGCCTCACACAGCTCCTCCGCTAACCCAAACACATGGTTCATGGGCAGATTCTCAGCCATAGTAATAAAAACATCCTTAACCTTTGACCAAAAACTCTCTGACACCTTCACACCATGATTGATAAATTCCAAACGTTCAGTAGATCAGATTAGATGGTGGAGGCTGCCATGGTGGGTGCAAGGCAGGTGGAGGTGGGCAGTGGAGTAATGTGCACAGCCTAGAGTGAGATTAAAAATGTGTTGTGATTTTAAGAAACAAAGGCTGCAGAAAGAAAACCTCGCTGGTCTCTTGGTCCCAGTATTAAAATCTGAATGAGCTTTTTCCCCAAATTATTGAGTGAAGTCTGAGTCGCCCGACTATTCTCCAACAGTCTCTGCTCTGTCAGGTAATGTGGTGTTTTTCTGCAGGGGCCTCTATTCCCCCTCAGGTGGAAGCCAGCGAACATGAGACGGGTAATTAAACACTGTTCCTGAAGTTATTTTTGTAGTTAAAATCTAAAGTGGGAAATAGTTTTGATCTGTTTGACCATTTGAGGAGTCACTAAATCTGTCTGCTTCTTTCTTCTGTAGGCATGGATAACATCGGTACTGTTTACGGTGCGCTCACACATCCTTCATTTTCATTTGATCTGCTTTTAATCAATGTTGTTTCATGGGGTCAGGAAATGAGCCTCTGCAGAACGTTAGTGCCCACGCACGACCAGAGTCACTGACTGAATCTTTTATGCTAACTTTAGAAAATGATGACCAGTACATGGCAAGCAGGAACCCGACCAGAAACCAGAGTGATCCAGCAGGAGACCCACAGCATCATCAGGACCAGACCCAGCCCAGTCAAAGCAACGCTGGGATTTATCCAAACCTGGATACGTTCAGGTTTGAAAGAGCGGAAAGTCACAGAAGAAGACAAAGATTTCACTTAGGTGCGTTATTTCCTGTAGTTTCTATTACTGATGAGTTTAATCACAGCAGGATGGACTAACTGTCGCTAACCTTTTAGAGATCATCAGCAGGCTCCGGCAAGCCAGTCACAATCGACACTTCTATGGTAAAGTATCTTTTGATTGTTCTGCCTGCTTTGGATTTGCTCTGGCGTGTTACTGGTCTGTTTTTATTTTACAGCAAACCAGCGTGAGATAAACAAGCAACAAGCCATGGCGGCTCAAGGTAGCTGACTGAGCTCACTCACTGTGTATTTGATTATCTAAGTTATAATTGAAAAGAAAAATACACAACACCAATTCAAAAAAATGCTGGGATGTTCTGTTATATGGAAATAAAAACAGGATCATCTGCAAATCGCATAAACCCCTAATTTATTCACAATGGAACAGAGTAAACATATCAAATATTTAAACTAAGACAATTTGTAGAAAATAAAATAAATGCCTTATTTAGAATTATTTATTTATTTATTTTTAAAGTGGTACATGGGCAACAAAAGGCCAAAAAAGTGGTATGAATAAAAAAAATAAAAAAAACAACTGAATGAGCAGTTTATAATGAATTATGACAATTAGCAACAGGTCATGAATGGATGGATGGATGGATGGATGGATGGATGGATGGATGATAGATAGATAGATGGATTTATCTATCTAGAATTCTAGTGTTGCGCCACTCGTGGTGGCTGCATGTTGGAGCAGCTCTGATACATTCATTCTGAGATTTTGCTTTTGGAAACTTGAATTCCTCTCTTTCTGGATGTACATCACATTTTTGGAGGATTATTTCCTCTGGCATGGGATACTGCAGCTGGTAGGATTTTTACGGAAACCTTTTTAGTTTTGGACATTTGTTATGATGCGTAACATAACAAGGTGTTTTTTTTTTTTTTTAAACAACTGGAAGCTGCTGATTAACATCTCAAAAGCTCAGATAATACAAATCTCAAATAAGTTGAAAAGGAGGTGTCATGGATGCATTCCCGTCTCCTTGCCGGCTGTGCTCGAGTGCCTGACCACTGAGATCCTGGAAATGGCAGGAAACATGGCTTGTGAGAGCAGAATGACCAGGATCGTCCCCCAGCACCTGCACCTGCTGGCTGTCCACAGCAATGAGAAGCTCAGCAGGCTGCTGGGAGGAGTGGCCAACACTCTGGGAAGAGTTCTGCCCAGCATTTGGAGGAACTGAGAGGCCAGTCCAAGTCTGGGTGGATGGATCGGACGGGTTCTGCGGCCAGTTTCTTTGGATATGCTGTGGGAGGACTTTTACAAGAGATCCTTCCTGCCTACAGCCATCAGCATCTGTAACATATCTTAATGAAAGGAGGATAACGAGTTACAACAACATTTAATTTCCCTTTGGGATTAATAAAGTATTTCTGAATTGAATTGAATTGAATCTCTCTGAAGTAAAGATGGGCACAGGTTCAGCAGTCTTCAAAAACTGCATCTAAAAATAGTGGAATCATTTTAAAATAATGTTGCTGTGCACTGCATTGAAACCAGCTCTGGTTCTGTTCTGGGCTCAGGAACACTTCCACAGATTATTATATGTAAAAAAAAAAAAAAACACACACACACAAAGTTAATCCACAATCACTGCTTGACGCTCTATCAGACACAAAAGATGTCTCAGTCTTCTCTTGTGATAAAGCTCATTTAAAATGAACTGAGGTAAAATACATAACTATTCGGTGGTCAGGCGATTAAAAAAATAAAGTTATTTTTGGAACCACAGATCCCACACTACTAAAAGGAGCGGAACCATCATTCTGTTACTGGAGCACAGTTTAAAAGCCTGCTTCTCTGATGGTATAGGGGTGCATTAGTTCTTCAGGCGTGGTCAGCTTGCACAACTTTAAAGACACCTTTAATATAGAAAAGTATCCACAAGTTTTAGGACAAGTTATGCAACTGTTCAGGGAAGGCCTTGCATCTTTGAGCAAGACAATGCTAAACCACAAACAAACTCATTACATTTATTATGTTTACTCTGTTAGCTTGTGAATAAAATTGAAATGAAAAATTTAAATCATTACATTTGGGTTTTATGAACATTTAACACAACATTCCAGCTTCATTGGAATTGGAGTTGTTTATTTCAACAAACAGCATTCATTGATATATTTTTGTTTGTTTGTTTATTTTCAGCAGAGAAAGACAAAAAGAGTGAGTGCTGATTTAATCTGTGGCTCATGTTCTTTTAATAAAATGAAACCGTGTTCTGAACCGCTCTCCCATTTTTCACCCTCAGACTGCAACTACCAAAACCCCATTTATAACAGGGGCGCAGACCAGTAAAACCAGATGTAGAGGACTGAGGAAGACTGGAAACCAGTGTGACAAAAACCAAAACTGATGAAAGTTTTAAAAAATTATCTCACTTTGTATCACTGCTCACAATATGTCTGCCACAGCTTTTTCATAAAACTGAACAAAACTGACATTAAACCACAGACGGCCTCTTTCTTTGTTCTGTGTCTTTATTAGAAAATCAAGTCAAGTCAGGAGTTGTTACACAACTAAGATTTAAGAGATTATGAGCTCTATAGCACCATCTGCTGGTTAAAAACTGGACATGTGTACAATGTCAGAACTGAAACATCACAAGGAATTTTCCTCATTATCACAATTAATATATATATATATATATATATATATATATATATATAGTTAATTGATATTTTAAACTGATGGAGCTCAAATCCTGAAATTTATCTTTTCAAACTTGAAATATCTATATTATTTTTAATTTTCTTGATAAAAACGGACTCAGATTTGTTTGGATTTAGATTTTTGACAAAAAACTGAACCAGAACTGTAAAATCAGAGTTTACACTGTTTCCCCATTGTCCCGCCTTTGCTTGGGATGGGGATTGCATTGAAACAAAAATAAAATTCAGTCTGTGGATTTTCTCAAGTCCAGCTCACCTTGTGAAATATCAAAAATCATAAAGAGCTTGTATGTGTCACTTTATAAAAGCTCAATGTTCAATTAAAGACCAAACTTTTCATGAAGGAAATCATGTCTGCCGCATTTCACCCCCGAGAGTTAAACCTAAACCTTATGATGGTTTTAGTTTAAACATACAGTAAATCATCATACAGACGTCTATGTTCCTACCCTCATAGGGTCATGAACTCTGGGTAGTGACTGAAAAAACAAGATGGTGGATACAGGAAGTCTAATTGAGTTTCCTCCGCAGGGTAGCTGGACTTTTGCTTAGAGACAGGGTGAGAAGTTCAGTTCTACAGGAGAGACTTGGAGTAGAGCTGCTGCTCCTCCACATCCATCCAGAGGAACCTGTTGAAGTGGTTCAGATATCTGGTACGGATGAATGGATCCCTAGGGAGGTGCTCCTGGCATGTCCAACTGGGAGGAGATCCCATGGAAGACCCAGGACAGGCTGGAGAGACTATGTCTCTTATTTGGCCTGGGAACACCTTGGAATCCTCCCAGAAGAGCTGGAAGAGGAGGCTGTGGAAAGAGATGTCTGGACCTCCCTGCTCAAGCTGCTGCCCCCAAAACCTGAGTCCTAGATGGATGGAAGGAAGGATGGATGTTTGATGGAATGATAGATGCTAGACAACCACACCCACATCTAGAAAACTACAGGCGTTCCAATAATTTTTGATCAGCTTTTGTGAATTGATTGATTCCAAAAACTATTAATTTGTAGATGTACCTGCAGTAATTACTTTATGTGCTTCAAGAAAACCAGTCTGGTGGTTCATGAGATATTTTGCCAACAGACAGACAGGGTTGACTCCAACAGTTAATGCTTTAAAATTAAATTCCTGTTTAATTTGTGGTGCACTGAGTGTGTGCTCAGCTCAGTTATTTTAGCTGCGTTATGGTCATTTATGTTTCCTAACAACAGTTGGCTGTGGCAGCCATCTTGAACTGGGTTGACTAATAGTCAATGATAATTATTTTCTGAAAGGTCCATTACAATTCATCAGGGGTATTGCAATATTGTATTAGATTGTGCATAATGTCATTTTCATGGGTTGACCAAAAAATAATAATAATAATAGAAAAGGGAACTCCTTCCCTTCTCAACGTCTGTTTATTTATTGAATAAATAATTAAATCTCTTGTATTTGTCTACATATTGTTGACCAATGGAGCAAAGAAAGTATGGTAAAGGTCAATCTGCAGAAAAGCACCATCAGATGTCTGCCACCAACTCAAATTCACTCTCCTGAAGCCAATTAAAGCAAATGAGAACGGCCTGCGTTGCCTGCCAGAATCTGCAACAACAACAACAAAAATGAAGGCCAAGAGTTCAGGTTTTGTTTTGGCTGCGTTAGTTTCTCTGCCGCTGCTTGTTCTAAAATGTGACTCGACACGTGGTGCAGCGTTTCACACCACAGCCGGTGAAAACACACTGACTTGTCACGACGACTTCATGTCTGTTTACATCCCTAAAGAACAGTTTTACAACCTTCCGTCCACCATCTATGTTGGAGGTAAGTCAGGGCATCGTCCATAGACGCCACAGAGAAGAAGTGTGTGTTTTTTTTCTCTCTTTGTTTGTCTGTGTCATCCAGATGACAGCAGAGGATATTACCAAGTTGCTGCTATCGCTGAGCGTTGCCTCTACTTCCTGAAGGAAACGCTCTCATTTATTGTCCTAACCGTTGCGTCCACTGGGTGTTTTGTAAAGAAACAAGTGAGCTCCTGATTCTCTTTTGTTGTTGTTTGTGTCACAAAATTTGCATAATATTTAATAAAACTGTTTTCAGTAGAAGTTCACGATGAGCCTCATGGTGGTCATCGTGGCCCCTGCAGATGAAGGCCCGCCAAGAATCATCCAGTCAATACGGCTCATCTGTGAAAGGAAAGTAAAAGGTAAACGCTGTAAACTGTTTGTTGCAAAATGCATCTGTAGAATTTTTAAAATTTATATTTATGGCTCATTGTGAAAAGGCAAAAGATAATTTATTTTTTGTGTTCTTGTGTGAAGTACCTCCATGAATTATTGGAAGGCTTTTAATGAAATTTGCAGAATGTAATCGTTGGATGTACATCTACAACTGATTCACTTTAGGAGTGAACCTGATTCAAGAAGGCTGCCACAGTCAGTGACACTAGAAAACACTCAAAAAATTGGCAATAAATCTATAAATGTTACAACCATGGAGCTAAAATTTCACGATGTTGCTGCTGAGAGACATCTACAACAGATATTCTTAGCCTATTGTGCATGTTTCCATGGTTTGACCAAAACAACTAAAGCTTCACAGTGTGAGATAATCTTACTATGTCTAACTTTGGTTCACTCTTCGCAGAGCCAAGCACATTTAATTTTCCTGGAGAGTCGATGCAGTATTTCTGCAACAAGAATGGCTTCAACATCACCATGTCCTTGGTCCATCCTCAGAACCTGGAGGCAGTCTGGGTCACCTCTGAACAAAACCCCCGCTGTTTCCCCCAACAAAGATCCAATGATGCTGTTGCGTTCAGCTTCCTGTTCTCTGAATGTGGCACCCAGTTCAGGGTAAATGTAGACAAATGACCAAGCAGTGTTCAAAGAACTCTGAGGTATTTTGGTGGTTTAAGTGAAGTGGGTTTAATTTACAGATTGCCGATGGGATCATCACCTACTGGATCAACATCAACATTAAACCACCGTCCCTGAAAGGAGTCATTTTTCGTCAAACTCCATTCCAGTAAGATAAATCAAACTAAAGACATTTCATTTCTTGTGAAAATGTGTGCACCATTATTGATGAATAATTTTTGCAGATAAAGCCGAAACAAGCTGAATTGTATTCATCTCTAAACTTCTAATGCGAGTTAAATTTGAACAGCTGACATTTACTGGGAAAGAAAAGCAGAAGAAAAACGGCTGAAATACATAGAAAAAAGCTTTAAAAAGACAGAGGTGCTTAAGGAGCATAAAAAGTTGAAATTATTCAAAATAATCCTGTAGCATGAAGCTGCACTGCTCTAATGATGACCCCTGACCCTTATTCATCTTTCAGATGAATCGTGTTCTTTAAAGTTACCTCTGACTTCAATCATGTCTGATTTTCCACACATTTCTCATTCTTGGACACAGAGTCAGCTAAAGTCAGGAAAAATAAGGCAAACATTTGTCAATGTTTCTCAGAAAGAAAAACAAATCATTAGTGAAGTTTCCAAAAAAGTTCAATCTGGTCCTCTGGACATTAAAAAAAATAAAATAAAATAAAACAAAGCAAAAAACTTTTACTGAACTTTTTTGGATTTTTCTACCTGGATTATTGAGCATGCATCAGGATATTAATGAAGTTTGTTTTATTTGATTAACAAGTGTGAACATGAATCATTTTGATTGTTGTTTTCAATCATTATAATGAAATCATGTGAAATTACAATATGAATAACACATTTCTCTGTTCTGTTTTTCAGAAAGTGATTATTCCTTCAGAGACACCTGTGAAAAAGTAGTCTTTGAGCTGGAAGCTGTTTTCTTCAGAGGGGAGTCACAATGTCCCTGAGAGTAGTCAAAATAATCCTGAGCAGAGAGCTGTTGTTTTGCACAAAGATCCTTTGTGTGAAAAGCAGTTCATCTTGGACCCCCGAACTGAGCGGTTCGTTTTGGACTCCCGATCCTAGAGGTCGTGCCAAGGTCCACTCGTTCATCTCCTGAGCAGATAAAAACGTTGCTCAATTACAATTGTTAGAGGTTTAAATAACTGCAGAAGATGAAGCCTTTTCTCACTGCAAGCCTCACGTTCTCGGCTGAAGGTTGCAATTGACGGCACCTTTTCATCAGCTGTTGCCCTCACAGACCCCTGAAGCTGTCACAGTGACGGTCAGCTACCTGGGGCAGTTCCCAGCGAGTCCTCCTCATGGTGTATCCTGGTCTGATCCACCAGAGAACCCCAGAAAGACGAGTGACCTGGTGCCATCAACACTGACCCAGTAAGCAGCAGAACCTGGTGACATGATGCCTTGGTCTGGTTATGCTAATTTAAGCTGATGCAACTTGATAAAGCATTTCCTGGCTTGCAGTGACAATAAATGATTTTATCTGATCACATTAAATAACTTCTTTCAACCAAAATCCAAAGTAAACTCTTTATTAAAAAAGTCAAACTTTGTCTAAATTCATGCGCATATAAAAATTAAATCATTCTTGCTCAAAGAGTTAATTTAGCCTTAGATAAGAGAATTGAGCCTTGATTGATTCATTATTATTGGTTGTTTATTATTGTTGTTGATTTTTAGTTTGATTATTTTTGTAATAAAACTCCAAAGACAATTTTGGTCTCTTCATACAGATGAACATTCATTTTGTTCTGGTATAGAACTCCCTGTAATTATCAGAATCTACTTCAGTGACTGATTCTGATTATTAAAGGGTGAATATATTAATGAAGTTGTTGTTGGTCAGTAAACTGACCAGCTGGTGCCACACTTTAATGAGAGCTAAATAAATAAAATAAATGTAGTGGAAGGGAGTGGAGAAAGTCACCCGTCTTCCTCCATCTCACACCCTTCTTATTGCTACAATAACGAAAGGCACACATTTTCTGGAAAAACTGGTTATTATTAACAGAAAAATACATTCAAAAACTGAATTTAGCAACAAACAAAAAAAACACTAATAGGTGAAATTAACAGGAAAAAAGTTTAATAGAAAACAACTGAAATGAGCATAAAGAAGCTGAAATGAGCAGTAAAGAGCTCAAAGGCTTTGAAGGATGTGAAGAGGTCCATTCATTTTCAATGAGAGAAACATGGCTGAAAAAGCTAAATATTTTTTAAACGTTAAAATTGCACAAATACCAAGAGTCACAGCAGGAATGTCCTGAATGAGCTGAACCTTTTGATTCATGAATTGTTGAAACTGAATAAAAACTGAGGAACAAGTTACGTGCTGAAAAATGTACAAAAGTGAAACAGATCTGAATAATAAGAATGTTTCTGAACCATTCACACAATGAATCATGTGAGTAACAACTTGAACTTATTTCAAGGTTGTTTCTTGTGTTTTCAGGCTGACTGTACAGTGCAGCTTCGCACTGACTCAAAGAACTCGTCTGGACTTCACAGTTGAACAAAACAAATCTGATTTCCTGTCCACACTGAAGAACAAAGGGACACTGAGGACTGAGATGAGGTTTGCCAAAGGTCAGGACTTCTCTTTATCCATGTGGAAAGGATGTTGAGGGGGAAGTGGCAGTAATGTATTAGGCTGGGTCTGTCTGTGTGTGCTTGTCTGTTAGCAAAATATCTCAGGAACATGCCGGACAGACTAAAATGAAACTCAGAGTAATCATACGACTACAAAAGTGTTGTAGTCTACATTTTTGTAATGGTTATACTGTGTCTGCAACTGTAGTCAACCAGTTCAGGATGACAGCTAACTGACCTTAGAAAACACAAAAATGTTTATAATCCACTCAGATTTACAGACACTGAGCTAACATTTGGTGTGGTGGTAGCTGAGCATCATCCCCAACACATACCCTGAGCACTACAACTTTGCTGATAACTTTGCCATTAAGCTCTCAAAGTAATCACTGAATGTACTTTTACAACTCGTTAATATTTAGGGTTGACCCAGTTCAACATGGCCACCACAGCTAACTGACCTTTGCCAACACAAAGGTGGCTCTAGCTTGAGCAGTTTGACACATATTGAGCTAAAATCTGGTGTGGTAGTAGCTGAGAGTCATGCTCGGCATATTTTCTGAGCTCTAACATCTCATGAGATCTTGCGAGGGACGTTAACCCTTTAACTGTACACTCATTTCTCGTTGGATCAACAGAATATTTAACAATCGCACACAGTCATTTTTTCTCATTTTCGTGAAGGCTGGTTCCTTCAACATGTTCAGGTTTTTCTCCCCAACAGATTCCTCCTACAGATCCTTTTATTCGTCCAGCAGCCCTCCAGCAGCGATGGCGCTCGGCCAGCCGGTGTTTGTGGAGGTGTTCGTGGTCAAACACCAAAACAAAGACTTGACCCTGCTGCTCGAGGACTGCTGGGCCACACCGAGCGAGGACCCTCATGACCCACAGACCTGGGACCTGATTGTTAAAGGGTGAACCCCTTTAAACTTAACGTTGTTGTCATTGTGATCGTGAAGTACATTTAGATGAGACTCAAAACTGGAGTTGTTCTGCATTCAATCAAGGTGTCCATTCACCGGTGACAACCAGAGAACTGTTCTGCTGCCCGTCTCTAGTACGGCAACATCAAACCCCTCCCTTCACAAATGGTTGGTTGTTAAGCTCTTCTCTTTTGTGAAGTCTCCAACGTCTGAACACCAGGTGAGTCAAATAAACCAGTGAGAATGGATGTTTTCTTGAAGTCTGTCTAAACTCCACCTGTCTCCTCCAGGTCTATTTCCACTGTAACGTAGAGATCTGCAAGGGACCAGACTGCTTCCATCACTGCAGCGATGGTGAGGAATGGTTCAGTCAGGTTTAATCGGATCATTGGAAGCACTTCTACAACAGATTAACTCTTAAAGTTGACCACAGTTGGGATGTGCACCACAGTCAGCTAACCTTGGAACCCCCCAAATGTCTTTAACTCTCAATTTTATAGATATTGAGCTATAATTTGATGTTGTAATGCCCAAGTGTCATCCTTGACCCCTGCATGCAGAGCTAACAGAGTATGCAAGATCTTGGGGCAGCTGTGGCTGAGTGGTTAGAGCTGTTTTCCTCCAGTGAGAGAGCTGGGGGTTCAATTCCACAAGCAGTCACATGCTGAAGTGTCCCTGGGCAAGACACTGAACCCCTCATTGCCTCTGATGTGTGTCCTATCAGTGTATGAATGTGATATAGCACTGATTAATTCTTTGTAGAGATGTAGTAGAGTGCTGTATGAATGGGTAAATGACGGCACACGTAGTGTAAAGAGCCTTGAGTATCTTGATAAGATAGAAAAGTGCTATATACTGTAAGTACAGTCCATTTACAATAATGACAGTGTGATTACATTATTTTCAAGATTTTACCAAAACACAAGATGATTTTAGTTTCAAACGCTTGTATGAAAGGTGAAGAATGGTATGCATCTCAATTTATTGTCTTCAGAATATGCCCCAGAGCCATAGGTTTTGAGCAACACAAACAAAACTGTTCTCGTTCATCTCTGCCTTTCAGAGAAGCCTAAACCAAGAAGAATCCCACCCAGAACAGGGCAAAGGATTTTATCCAGCACAGTCTCAAGTGGACCAGTTCTTTATCAGCGGTGAAGGCAAAGAACAACTAGTTCCCATTTTGGGATGATAGAAATGACTTGGTAGGAAACTGTGACTGTTTAAAAGTTCAATTTAAACTTGGTGCCAAGCAAGCATGGCTTGGAAATTATTTTGCATTTATTATTGTTTCTTAAATTTGATCAGTTAACTCTCAACATTAGTCTTAATTTATATGTACACGTTGGTTTTTTTTTTGGGGGGGGGGTGGGGGGGCTGTGCTCAAGCTTTCTCAGATATGTATGTAAATAAACAAATACATTAAAAAAGTGTTACTTTATTTGGTCAATTTGAATCTGTATGGTACATATAAAAGGTAAAGCTTGCAGTTCATGACTTTAAAGTTTGACACTAAATGTGAGCTTTATACAAATTTATCAGTGTTTCTACAAAATATGTTAAAACCTTTTGTTGCTTTTAAGTTTGTGTAGCTTTTATTCTTTTTATTTACAAGGACTTTTATTTTGGCAAGTCATCTTGTGTCACGTGATCGCAAGCGGACCAATAGTAGTAGAGAATGAACGTGTGTGCGGAAGTATGTAAGGCAGTCGTATTTTGAACGACTGGTGAACATTTTGTAAAGTTTATTACCTCCTGTGACTGTTAATGGACTGTAACTTGTATTTTGTACGGTTTTAATTCGTATTTTTGGGGTTGTATCAACTTCTCAGTCTGGTTTGGTTTTGTGCAAGTTGTCCGTTATGTCCAAAAAACCGGGTGAGAAACTAAACCACAGCGAGTCCAAACACCTGCCGATCTATCGGCACAAAGCCAAACTGGTCCAGGCGGTTAAAGACAGCCCTTTCCTGCTGGTCACCGGGGAGACAGGAAGCGGGAAAACCACACAACTTCCACAGTACCTGTATGACGCAGGTGAGACGTTACTTTATTATCAGTTATCCGGAGAGGAAGAAAAATTATGCTGTCAGAAGTAAACACTGGAGGGCCACTATCCTGCATGTTCTAGATGTTTCTCTGCTTCAACACAGTAAAGTAATCGGCGATTAACAGGCTCCTGCAGAACCTGAAGACCTGGTGAAGAGCAGAGGAAACCTGCAGGATGGTGGCCCTCGAGGGCCAATATCCTGTAGGTTTTTGCTTCATAAATTGTGTTGGTCTAAGAAACAACAGTGCCTGTGTTTGTGATTGTGTTTAATTTGTCTGGACAGGTTTTTGTAAAAATGGTAAAGTCGGCGTCACCCAGCCCCGTCGGGTGGCTGCCATCACGGTGGCCCAGAGGGTGGCTCAGGAGATGAAGTGCATTCTGGGAAAGGAGGTTGGATACCAAGTACGCTTTGATGACTGCACGTCACAGGTGAGGAGCAAATAATGACTCCTTCAGAAAATAAAAACCTGTTTAGTGTAGGTTAGTGCTGACGTGCGGTCCGTCTGAACCAGGACACGGTGGTGAAGTACATGACGGACGGCTGTTTGCTCCGAGAAATCCTGGCAGATCCTGTTCTTTCTCAGTACAGCGTTGTCGTACTGGATGAAGTCCACGAACGCAGCCTTAATACAGTGAGTTGAACGTTACTGCGTTGTATTGTCCTGTTAAACGTTTGTCCCTTTTAGGGGCCACGCAGCTCACCGAACCCCAGCATCCTCTGGAAAGCAACCCCTGCATATCCTGCACCATAACCATGAAACGTGGTTTTCAAGAAGAAGCTCTCAGTTTACCAGTTGGTCTATGTTCCTACCCTCACCTGTGGTCATGAACTCTGGGTAGTGACAGAAAGAATCGGTTCATGGATCAAGGCGGCCTAAACGAGTTTAGTTCTCAGTTCTCTGTCCCTGCCCTTCTCTGCGCACATCAAACGAGTGTTTTTATCTCGTTACAGGACATTCTTCTGGGTTTGTTGAAGAACACCTTCTCCCACCCCTCTAAAGCCGCTAAGGGCCGAGCGTTCCCTCTCAAAGTGGTGGTGATGTCTGCCACTTTGGAAACCGAAAAACTTTCAGCTTTTCTCAGAAACTGTCCCATCTTTGCAATTCCCGGGAGGGTATTTCCTGTAATGTGCACGTTTGGCTCGGCTGTTGGACCAAAGGATGTGGAGAGCACGTTTTACGTCAAGGAGGTACTGTTTAAGTTTATTTCAGTGCTTTTGAGCTGAGCTCACAGCTCATATTTATTTGTATTTTGTTTGTTTGTCTTGCAGGCAGTTAAAGTGGCTCTGGATGTGCATACCAGTGAAATGTCTGGAGATATTCTTGTGTTTTTGACAGGCGAGTGTGATTGTTGCCGTCGTTAGTTATCACGATCACAGTAGGAGCTGAAATGTGAACATTAATTTAATTTGTTCCTGTTTGACAGGCCAGTCAGAGATCGAGCGTGCGTGTGACTTGATGTTTGAAAAAGCTGAGAACATCGACTATCGCTACGATGTGCAAGACCCAACAGTGGACGGCCTTCTGATTTTACCCCTTTACGGATCCATGCCCACTGGTAAAGGCCCACAACAACCCTCATCATTTATTTTTTGATCGATTTAAACATCTTGTCTCTTTCCAGATCAGCAGAGGCAGATCTTTCAGCCCCCACCTCCAGGAATAAGGAAGTGTGTTGTAGCCACAAACATAGCAGCAACATCTTTAACCATCAATGGCATCAAGTGAGACCTGCTCTGCTGCTGGCTCTGCACCAAACTCTTGTTTTTCACATGTTGACACAGTTCCTCAAGGGTTTTATGAAATGTGTGAGAAGTTGGTTAAAAAAGAAGAAAACAACAGAAACATGTGGCTCAACTCTTCCCCTCTGTTTCACAAATGACCTGAAACTTCTCCAGTCTTTCTGAACTGAGGTTCTGGAGAAAGGTCATGAGCTATAATATCAATATAATATATATCAATATATAATAAAAATAAGTATGAAACTTCATTATCTCTTCAAGTAAAATTTGTGGAAAAGGTCAAATAATATATAGAATAAAAGAATTTGTGACCAGAAAATATATTTTTAAATATCGTAGTTAAACACTGGAGGCTCTGAGAACAGGCTGTGTCTAGGAGAGCGCAAAATTAAAAAAAAACAATAAATAGAAAACAATGAAGACATTTGCATACCAGGTTGTGGAGCAGTATAGATGAGGATTTGAAAAGATGCAAAATATAAAGTAGTAAAAGACATCCATCATCTTTACCCGCTTATTCCATTTTGGGTCACGGGGGTCGCTGGTGCCCATGTCCAGCAATCACTGTGCGAGGGGCGGGGTACACCCTGGACGGGTCGCAAGTCCATCACAGGGACACATAGAGACAAACGAGACAAACAACCATTCACTCTCTCACTCACACCTAGGGACAATTTAGAGTTACCAATCAGCCTAACATGCATGTTTTTGGTCTGTGGGAGGACACCGGATTTTGATAAGTCTATCTGTTTTAAATTGTGCTCTATAAATAAATATGACTTGACTTGACTTGACCGGAGTACCCGGAGAAAACCCACGCATGCACGGAGAGAACATGCAAACTCCACCCAGAAAGGCCCCTGGACTGGGGTTTGAACCAAGGACCTGCTCGCTGAGAGGCAGCAGCTCTACCAGTTGCGCCACCGTGCTGCCCTAGTAAAAGATATTATGAGGATAAAGCTCAAAAGTTCAATATTTATCTCTTGGTTTGTTGAACTGCGGGCAGCACTGTGAAGCAGTTGGTAGAGCTACCGCCTCTCAGCAAGAAGATCACCGGATCAAATCCCAGCTGGGTGCTTTTCTGGGTGGAGTTTGCTTGTTCTCTCCGTGCATGTGTGGGTTTTCTCCGGGTACTCCGGTTTCCTCCCACAGATCAAAAACTTGCATGTTAGTCTGATTGGTAACTCTAAATTGTCCCTAGGTGTGAGTGAGAGAGTGAATGGTTGTTTGTCTCTGTTTCCCTGTGATGGACTGGAGACCTGTCCAGGGTGTCCCCTGCCCCTCGCACAGTGATAGCTGGACATGGGCACCAGTGACCTCCGTGACCCGAAAAGGAAGAAGTGGGAAAAAGAAAATGGATGGTTGGGTTTGTCGAACTCTGACTGTTATCTAATAAAGTTAAGTCGGGTCCTCTGGATGTTTTTTTGTTGAAATGTTTCGTCTTTCATCCAAAAAACTTCTTCAGTCTGAGGAGCTGCAACAAACTCAGTCTTATAAATGGCACCTTCTCATAGTGGATCAACCAGTTTGTTGGTGCTCAGGTGGTTTCTGTAGTCCGCCCTGTCCCCCCACCGCCTGCCCAAACTCGAACTAGCTTGAGGCAGTCATGGTCAAAGTGGTTCAAAATATCCTGATTCATGCTCAATAATCCAGCTAGAAAAATCTTAACACGGTTAAATCAGGCACTCTGGGTGGATTATTTTTGTTGACAAAACGATCATGCTCATAAAACATGACATCCTGATTTGCTTTCTTGTAGGTACATCGTGGACAGCGGCTTTGTGAAGCAGCTCAATCACAACTCGAGGGTGGGCATGGATGTGCTGGAGGTCGTGCCCATTTCAAAGTACGTCTCAGAAACAGTCGCTCGCTGAGTGAAGCGTGGCAGCAGACAAACTGTATTTGTGTCGATTTTTCTGTCCCACCAGGAGCGAGGCCGAGCAGAGAGCTGGCCGAGCGGGAAGGACTTCTGCCGGGAAGTGTTTTCGAATTTACACCAAGGAATTCTGGGAAAAGTGCATGCCTGAATACACAGTTCCTGAGATTCAAAGGACGAGCTTGACGGCAGTGATTCTCACACTCAAGTGTCTCGGTGTTCACGATGTGATCAGGTACACTCTTTATTCGTTTTTTTTTTATTGTTTGTTTTTAAATAGTCGATTCTGAGGAGTTAATTTCTTTTAAGGTTTCCCTACCTGGACTGTCCTGATGAGCGGTTTATCCTGGAAGCACTGAAACAGCTCTACCAGTTCGACGCTATCGACAGGTGAGCTGTTCGAGCAGAGCAGCAGCTGACCTGACGGACCTGACCTGAACTCTTATCTGTCTGATGCAGGAGAGGCAGAGTGACTGAGCTCGGACAGCTGATGGTAGAGTTCCCTTTATACCCGGGTCTCACCAGGGCTCTGCTCAAAGCTGCGGCGCTCGGCTGCCAGGACCTGCTGCTCCCTGTGGCAGCCATGTTGTCCGTGGAGAACATCTTCATCAGGCCAGGTCAGCAGATGAAGATGTCTGATGTCATCAAATCACTGCTCAGAGAACATTGCGTATTACTAAATATTATGTTAAGAAATTCTCTAATATCTGTTCTACTAAAAAATATTTGTCCATCAACATGTTGTATTTATGACTTACTTTAGAAAACCCTTTTTGAAGACTAATGAAAAATGTGTAAAACTAGAGGAACATCATTTTCTGTGAAATGCAGTGTGGGAGATTATTGTTGAAGGATTTCTGCTGAAAGCTGATGAAAAGATTTCATCTGTGAACTAATGTGAGCTGAAGTTGAACATCTAACATTTGCCAAAAGCAGCAAAACTGCAGAAATGTGTAGAAAATGCACAAACAGGCAGACGAGCTGAATAGTTAAAAAAAAAAAAAACTTTAATTTGCAAAAATGTGGCTCAGAATGCTAAATAAAATAAAACTGAAATTATCAGTGAGGGTGAGGTTCTGCATCAAGTGGAGGAGTTCAAGTATCTCGGGGTTTTGTTCATGAGTGAGGGAAGAATGGAGGGCGAGATTGACAGACAGATTGGTGCAGCATCTGCAGTATTGTGGACTCTGTACCGGTCCGTTGTGGTGAAGAGGGAGCTGAGCTGTAAGGCAAAGCTCTCTGTTTACCAGTCGGTCCATGTTCCTACCCTCATCTATGGTCACGAGCTCTGGGTAGTGACTGAAGGAATGAGATTGTGGATACAGGCGGTTGAAATGAGTTTCCTCCACAGGGTAGCTGGACTCTCCCTTAGAGACAGAATGAGAAGTTCAGTTATCTGGGAGAGACTCGGAGTAGAACCACTGCTCCTCCACATCAAGAGGAGCCAGTTGAGGTGGTTCTGCCGTTTGATAAGGATGCTTCATGGGCGCTGCCCCAGGGAGGTGCTTTGGGGATGTCTGACTGGGAGGAGACCCCGTGGAAGACCCAGGACACGTTGGAGAGACTGTCTCTCAGTTGTCCTGGGAACTCCTTGGAGTTCCCCCAGAAGAGCTGGAAGACTGGAAAGAGATGTCTGGACCTTCCTGCTCAAGCTGCTGCCCCCACGACCCGACTTCAGAATAAGCGGAAGATAATGGATGGAAATGAGCAAAAAGAGGCTGAAAGGAGCATAAAAGTTTTAATTTATTCAAGAGTCACAAAAGGCAAAAATTGACAAAATAGCACAAAAAAGGCTAAACTTTGCAGAAAACAACTAAAAAGTAACTGAAAAGCAGAACAAAAGCTGAAATGAGCAGCAAAAGTTTTAAACAGCTAAAGGGTTTGAAGAGAGCTCCATTTTCAATGAGAAAAACATGGACGACAAAGCTAAATATTTCACAAAGTGAAAATTGCAGAAATATCAAAAGTCCCAGCAAGAATGTCGTGAATGAGCTGAAAGTTTTGATTCACGAATCGTTGAAACGGAACAAAAACTGCGGAACGAGTTTTGTTTCAGAAACATTCTCATCACAAATGTTTTGTCGTGCAGGTCAACCTGACAAACAGAAAGAAGCAGAGAAGAAGCACAGGACCCTGGCTGCAAAGACTGGGGGCATGAACGACTTCGCCACGCTGCTCAGCGTGTTTCAGTTGTGCAAGTCCAGGTGAGGAAAGACAAACATGTTTCAAGAAACGGTAAAGTCCGCTTGAGTTGACGTCTCCTGCACTCTGCAGTGACCGGCCGTCAGCTTGGTGTAAGGAGAACTGGATCCACTGGAGGGCGCTGAAGTCCGCCTTCAGTGTGGAGACTCAGCTGAGGGAAATCCTGTCCCGCCTCCAGCAGGTGCAGCACGCAGCCACTTGGATGTCTAGTAAAGCTGTGGTGCACAGCCTCTGTTAATTGTTCTGTTTTTGCACACTTGCCTTCCAGAGGAAAGGTTTTCCCGTTGAAACATTTGATGGAAATAAAAGTGAGCTGCTCAGACGATGCCTGTGCACGGGATATTTCACCAATGTTGCCAGAAGGTACGAGTTACAAATGCTGCTGCTGTTCCTGCATTTCCAGTATTAAAGAGAGGTTTTACTGTTCGTTTCAGGTCTGCTGGTAAGGTGTTTCGTACAATGGATGGCCATGGATCTATGGTCCACATTCATCCAGCATCATCTGTAAGCTCACAAACTGAAACACAGCAACATGTTTTCTTAACACCCCCCCCCCCCCCCCCCCCCCCCCCCCGCTCCCCCCAAAAAAAAGCTCATTGTGTTGGGCTTTTTCAGCTGTTTGAGAAAGAGGCAGAGCTGAACTGGGTCATCTTCCACGATGTGCTGGTCACCTCGCGGGTTTACGTCAGGACGGTGTGTCCGATTCGATACGAGTGGGTGAAGGATCTGTTGCCCAAACTCCATGAGGTGGACGTCTATGAGCTGAGCAGCGTCGCGAGAGAAGAAGTAACTGAGGAGGAGGTGATGAAATGGGAAACCAGAGAAGCTGCCAAAAGACAACAAGGTGCTTAAAAACACTTGATATTTAGGTAGAAACAAAGGTTGTCTCCATGTATTGCCTGGTAACAACATATATGTAAAGATCACAAAAAGAACCACGCTAAAGTTTCCCATGTGGATTACAGTAGTCCTTAGCTACTTTGCCGACTCGCTCTTTTGTGGTTTTTCAACGATTGTCAGCTTTAATATTACTCGTGATTGAGACAGTACGGGATAAAAAGTTAATGGAAAAAATATTTCAGACAGGCGTTGCCATTTTTTAGTCTTTTAATAAGCCTACACTATAAGGCCAGTCAAAAAAACTATACTACCCAGAAGCCAACAGTGCTTCCAGCCGAAACGGAGGGAAAGTTTTGCAACGCTAAGTCAGAAGTAACGATCGATCTATGAAGCTCAGAGAACTGGCAGGAAAGATGCAAATAATCCTGAAGCTCAATTATCCACGTGCACATCAACCTGGACGGGGCGGTGGGCTTTGTCCCTGCAGGGTAGGTCTGCAGAACCAGAACCGAGCTGCTGTTCTGCAGAGCTGAGAGTAAAATTTTGCAGTGCATTACATATATGTATTAGTATTCCCCCTACCATTAGACAAGCGGGCCGCCCCGTCAACAGAACCGAACTGCGCGCATCCTCCACCCGTCATCACAGACGTAGCGCTAGGCTAGCGGCGTGCAATACAGGCGCACTAGCTAAAAAGCTAAACCTCACCTGAACCATCACACTGAAACACCCCCCACTCACTGTCTGTACAAACAGCACACAGCTCAGACGTGTCCCCTCCTCGACAAAAATCAGACGAGATGAGTGCACCCTGACATGGCAAGTTATCTAGAGGAAAGTTAAAATAAGAGTTTAGAACATTGCAAGAGTGTGGGAAGGGTTTATAAAACCTTAAAATATATATAAATACTAACATAAATATAGTGTGCGTTCCTACTTTGCGGTTTTTCACCCATCGGGGGGGGGGGGGGGGGGGGGGGATTGTGTGTGGAACGTAACCTTCATGATTATCGAGGGACTACTGTTTAATTGTTTTTTCTGAGTAAACAATAAAAAGTTTAAATGCAATGTGCTGTTTAATGAAATAGTTTTGTTCAGTCACTATTCACAAACTTTATGGAGTTTTTAATTTTTTTTTAATATAAATTCTTTCTAATGAGAGTTCTGCGATGGAGTTAAATTCAAAGCAGTCTGCTGAGACAACTCCTGTTGTGACTTGACACTATATAAATAAACTGAATTGAGAATTTCCTAAATGGTAATAAATTGTAAAGCAGTTGTTTTTAGATTATTGCAGTTGACTTTCAACCCAAACATTTTGTGTTTACCACAACAACAGCAGGTCAAACTAAATGATCATTACAAAATAAAAGCAGTACTGTCACCGTCTTGAAGGAATGCATGTCGTCCATCGCCTCTTGTGTCAAAGTTTGAGATGAAGATCGTGTTATATGCTGTAGCTGTTTTGATGAAACCTTGAAAATATCATTATGTGGTGTTCGGTTCTTGGCTAATACCACTGCAAATTTTACTTAAATGACTATAAAACTGACTGAATTAAAGCTGTTCTTGTTTTGTCCAGTCAGTTGGCTGTGGCAGCCATCTTGAATCCAGTAGGTTTTATGTTCTATGTTCTAGAATTACGCCGCTCAAGGTGGCTGCATGTTGGAGCAGCTCTGTTACTTTCATTCTGAGATTTTGCTTTTGGAAACTTTAATTCCTCTTTTTCTGGATGTAAATCACATTTTTTTGGAGGATTGTTTCCTCTGGTATCGGATGTTGTGCAGCTGGAAGGATTTTTACTGAAACTTTTTTAATTTTGGACATTTGTTATGATGCGTAACCATGGCAACAAGGCAGTTTTCTACAACCAACAGCAGCTGATTAACATCTCAAAAGCTCAAATAATATCTCAACTACAGCCCAAATCTCAAATGAGTTGAAAAGGATGTTCTGTGGATGCATTCTCATCTACCTGCCAGCTGTGCTCGAGTGCCTGACCGCTGAGATCCTGGAACTAGCAGGAAAGGACGGCATCTGCAGCCAGTTTTTTAGGATCCACTGTGGGATGGACCTTTACAAGAGATCCTTCCTGCCTACAGCCATCAGCATCTATAACATCTAATGAAATGAGGATAAGAAGTTACAACAACAAATAATTTCCCTTTGGGATTAATAAAGTACTTTTGAATTGAATTGAATTAAAGGTTAGTCAGTTGCAGACGTACATCCAGTGAATATTTCCTGAAAGTTTCATAAAAAAAATCTGTCCTTTGGTTTGTGAGATATTTTGTTTACAGAAGGCGAGTTATAATAAATGTAATCTTTAAATGTTTTTAAATGGAGAACAGATATGGTCAATAACTAAACTGGAAACTTTCAGGAAGACGTTTACTTTGATGAGCAGCAGAATATGTAAACATTTAGATTATTATTGTAAAGCGATAATTTGAAAACTGCAGGAGTGCTTTTTGTTTACATGTTTGAGACCATAAGAGGTTGGTTTTAAGAGCAGTTTCTTGTCTCCTCAGAGGTTTCTGCTGAAGCCGTGATGAAGAAGCTGGAGAGACGCAACAATGAAACCACGCTGAGCGACGCTCGAGCTCGCTACCTGCAGAGGAAGCAACAAAGACAAAGTAAAACCTCCTGAAATGACTCTGTGCATAGCCGTCACTCAGAAATAAAACTGTTTTTTTTTTTATTGTTCTAATAAAAATATATAATTTATGACATTGTCCCTGTCTTTATTTATTACCTCGCAGTTGCAGCAGTTTTTCTGGGTCTTCAGCAGTGAGTTGACAGGAAGAAACCAAGTAGATGCACGAGTTTAAAACTTTAGTTTTGCTGATTCTTAATGAGTTTTTGTATTTGATTCGTATATATATATTTAACACTATGCCCTTGCCTTGTACCGCTGCTATGAGATTAAGGTCACAGTATGGTACTTGGTGTACTTTCACACCGACCGTTCAGGTACAGTGGACCCTCTGCTGCGTGACGTCACTTCCTATTGTTGCTGTTGTAGTGACAGACGGAGGGCTTCCATGCTAAGCAGCGACTAACCACATTAAAGCTTCAGAGAGGAGGCTTGTTACATTTCCTGGAGCTCGAAGTCGTCTTCAGTCGTCCATCCAGTAGTTTCCACCTCAGAGGGACTTTGTTTTCCGGTCTGCTTGGCTCTTTAAAGCACCTTACGCTTGCAGAAAGTGACCAAGCACGCCGCCGCTACGAGAGAAGAAAAACAAGCTCGGCGAGCGGTGTGCTAAGCTGTGTGATCATTGACAGAGTTCAATACACACAAGCCCCGACCGAAAACTGGGCCGAGAGCGGTGCTGCGTGGCTCCGGGGTTCGTTGAGAGGCCACGGCTGGGAACATTTCTGCCTCAGAAGTCGAGGTAGGAGCCCGCAGAGGAATGAGAACTAGCGCAGGTGGCTAACGGAGATGCTAACTAGCTGTTAGCTTAAAATAGGTTTTGGCTCGCTGCCGTGTTTGATCTTATTGCTCTCGTGGTCGGTGTCCTCGCTGCTGCCCCACGCGACACTTGCCTTAGTTGCTTATCAGTTTGGGTTATTGTTTAAAGTGTCCCAACCGCTTTAGTCCCGACATCCGAGGGTTAAAAGCGCCTCGGACTTTGAAGGCATTGTTTGTTGACTCTGTTAGCTTGCTGCTAACGGTGTGTTTACTGAAACACAGCAGGCTGCTGCTACAGATGTCCCTTCAAATGCACTCACCCTTTGACCAAATCCAAAATATGTCTTCATTCACTCGATTATTAACACTCACCCTCTAATGTAACTACATCTAAAATATGTTAAATCCATGTTATAATCCACACTTTCATCCGCGATTATGTTGTTATTATTCACTGCAAATCTATTTATAGATTGTCATATTTATTATAGCACATTCAGAAACCACTGAAATGAAGTAAAATGCTTTACAGGTTAGATAATCTAAAAGGCATAAAAATAGAAAGCACGACTGCAATAATAATAAAAGATAAGAGTACAGTATTATAAAAAGGTTTATTTAGGACTCATTCTCTATTTGAGTTAATAGTGTAAGAAAAAGGATGAGTCTTAAGCAGAGATTAGACGATTTCAAGTGTGTGTGTGTGTGTGTGTGTGCGTGTGTGTGTGTGTGTGTGTGTGTGTGTGTGTGTGTGTGTGTGTGCGTGGTGCTGAGAAGCAAACTAATGAAGAATTAGAGCAACCACTGCAAATGCCCAATCTTTGTGTTTCAATCAGGATCTAAAACTGTCTGGTAGACCAGAGCTCTGCCGCCTGTGTGTTGATTATCATGTTAAAACACAAGGCCAGAGCATTTCTACCTAAAAAGTTTAAATTATTTATTTAGTATAAGATAAAAGGTGAGCTGCTGCACTGATCCAGACCAAGCGTTACAGTAGAGCTAGAGTACTTTTCAAAGTCTTCTGCATAAATCTGGCTTCACTTTACCAATAACTTGAGTTATACAGGAAATAAATGATTTTACTTGTGTCTTGTTTCATTTGTCCAGTTTCAAAGAGCTCAAGTGTTTTACTGTAGAGTCTGAACTAAACTGTTGAGAAGGTTAAATTTTCTAAAGAAGGTGACGTATTTAAAAATGTAGCACTTTCTCTAAAAAAAAAAAAGCAAATTGTTGGAAAACTAATTTGGACATCTTTCCTACGAATTCAAGCATAGTGTAGATTCAAGTGTAGATCGTTTTATGCAACAATACTAAAACTAAATAATTATCAGCAAATTAAGTCTTTTTTAACAATTTTTTAAATTTATTTTATTTTTAATGCTCATAATTGTAATAAGTTTTCTGTTTGTTTGTTTTCTGATGTTTTCTCTACAATGGTAATTATGTAGTATCACAATAACATTTTTTGATTTTCATTTAATGCACCAGCCCTGCTACTCAGAGACAGAGTTACACAAGTGGCACTTAAACAAAAGTCATACATTTTTGACCTCTTGTCTCTAAACTATAGCTTGAATATAAGTCTGTATGTATGTGTGTGTGTGCGCATGTATGTGTGTTTAAGTAAATATATATATACACATACACTGGCACAGAAATCTCCAAACGCTTTGGGGCTTCCAGCATATTTTATTAGTCCTCATTATTCCACAAATCTGATAAACCAGATCGATAGGGTGCTGGGGACAACAAGTGCCATGGTCAAGTCAACATGCTTTAAGTGGCTTGGACCCGCTGCTCGCAGTTCTAGTTTTCATTGACATTGCCAAAGTTTAATTTTCAACCTTAAATTAAAGATGAATGCTTTCTAACATATTATCATAGTCAGAGATACCTGGATATCAATAAAGTAAGGTGCTATGTGTTGTCATCATTATATGCTCCCATACAATGACGAAATTGGTTCTTTGCATTTAACCCATCACACGTGCGATACACCCAGGTGGAGCAGTGGGCAGCTATGTAAGCGCCCAGGGAGCAATTAGGGATTAGGTGTCTTGCTCAGGGACACCACGACATGTGTGCATGGTTGAGTTGAGCCACGACTTTCTGGTCCCAAGTCGGCTGCCCTACCTCACACCGTCTTGGCCACCCAGTATATATCAGCAGCAACGTATTGGAAGAGAATATTGTTTTCATGATAAATAGACCCCAAAGGCAGCATATTAAAGGATGAAGAGCAGTGGGCCCAAAACAGATCTTTGAGAAACCCCACAACTGAGAGGAGCTACAGTCCTCCACCGGAGGACACAAGAACAATCCCCATGTTTGTTTGATAGGAACTGAGTCGTACCTTTGATTACAGTCTGTTCAAGTCCTGATATCAGGATATTATTATGACTCAGGATCAAAGGCTGCAAACACGTCTGAGGAGATAAAGAAACTGTCAATCAAGCCTACTAAATAATTAAAAGTGGATTGTAGTTTGATTAATGAACTCACATTAAGCCTTTTCATCTACTCACTATCACATTGTTTTTAAGTTTATACATGATTTTAAATTATACAGCAATCAGGTCGCTGCTAAAATAAAAGTTAAATGCTTTTAGGAGAGTTTGTCAGTGCTGATGACTAATTAAATATTTATTTTTACATTTATTATTGGATGTTGAAGGAGTTGTTTTCCTCAATTAATTTATTGAAAATTTTAACTTATTTTTCATTTATTTAAAATTTTTACAACACTGCTTGTGCAGACAAACATCTGCCAACAAACGAGATGTGTGATATTTTTGTTTCTAAATGGCAGCTGCTTTATTTCTGATTCTGAGAAATTAGAACGGGTTGTTTTGCATATGGGCGTAATCCTAAATTTTATCAGATTACTACCGTGCAGGTTTTTTTTCATTCAACCTTTATACAGGTTAATCTCATTCAGACTTTGATTACTAGATTTGAGTGAATTTATGTATTTTTTCACTTTGACGTAATAGTTTCTTGAGCACATTGCAAATATTATAGACAGGGTAACAACAAATTAGTACTTTCTTATTCATTTTTCCTTACAGCTGGCAACCTTTTAATTTTATACATAAAGAATGCATGCTTTGTGACATCAGTGTATTATGCGACGTTGTTGTGAAAATAAATTCTAATTAGGGTAGATTATTGACGCTGGTACAAGATGTGTGTGAAGACACTGTAAAAAGTTATTATTCTGATTATCTAAAAAAAAACGTTATTCGTCAGATAACTAAAAGATGGTGAAAAACGTCAGAAGTGGAGTGAAACCTTATCTGTTTTTATCTTTGTAAACAAAGCAGTTCAAACAGTCTTTACAGCTGCACGCTCCAAATTATTCAACCCCACCATTTCTACAGAAATCCTGTGAATTCTGGTAAACCTGCGAGTTCAGGACTGACCCTGAAGAGCCAAAACCTGCAGGATGCCATTGTGTTGATCAGGGCAAAGCTTTGCAGACATTTTACTCCCTGTTAGGCACGGATTATTTTATATATCAGTAAAACACCAGAGTTGATCATTTTTACATTATTATGTAAAGGTCAGGGTACCAAGGACGTGTTAAGGAGAGTTGCTTTATCTCTCAGATTAGCTGCAATAACGTGCTAATTTCAGCAGTTTTTGTTTTGTGGAGTTGTATTTCAGGACAACAAAGTGCTTAACACGGTGATTTTTGTTTTCCAGCACGGTGAGATCACTCAGATAGAAATTTGTTGTTGCAAGAAATCACTTTCACTTTAAGTCTTCACCTCGTCTCATCGGCGGTAGTTTTACTTCCTCCCCCTGTGTTGTCTTTCCCTGCTATTCTATATTTAGGTGATAATTACCTCTTGTTTTGTTTAAAATCAGAACGCATGGGGATAATAATTCAGCAGTTTGACCCACACAGAAGTTAGGGAAGAAAATTTAACGACATTGTACTCGGGTTAAACAAAAAGTCTTGTAATTTGTTGATCATTTGATTCTACTTGAAGTTTGTGTTGGTTTTATATTTAATCTGTTTGACACTTATTGGAATATTTAACAATATTTTTCTTCCTTTTCTCCTCCAGGTATTGCACAGTGCAGCTTTTTCTTTGAGCCACAGCCAGAGACTTGACCAGTAAGACCAGTTTCCATCAGCTTGTCTGCAGCCCCCCTACCCACCCCAACAGTCTTCTGCCCCAGCATGAATGAAGTCAGTGTTGTTAGAGAAGGATGGCTCCAAAAGAGAGGTGAGTGGCTCTTTGTATTCTCCCTCCAACACCTGAATTTTCAGCAAATCTTCGTTTTCTGTTAAATAATCTGCTATGAACTCAAAGGGCACAAGTCACGTTTGTAGTTTTTATAGAGACATCATCGACTCGGTTTATAGAATAGAATAGAATAGAAACAGCCATTATTGTCCCACGGATGGGAAATTCAAGTGTAACAGCAGCAACAGATAAAAAGATAAAAAGATTTCACACAAAAGTTCCTAAATATTAAAAACAATACAATATATAAATAAATAAGATAAACAGTATCAATAATAATGTTCAATATGTGTTTGAACATTGATAAGGACAGACTATTTACAATCCAGTATTATAGGCAGAGTGTGTGTTTTATAATATATTATAATTTTGTGTGCAGATCAGAGGGATTATTTGTAAGAAGACAGTCTCGTGTTTAAACACTGAAACTGAGCCTCTGTTTCCAGGTGAATACATCAAAACATGGCGGCCTCGTTACTTCATCCTGAAGAGCGACGGATCCTTTATCGGATACAAAGACAAGCCTGAGGTGTCCAGCGACCTCAGCCAGCCGCCGCTCAATAACTTCTCCGTCGCAGGTCAGTTTCTTTTCGGTGTGCCTTGTGTTTTAGCGCCGCTGTTTACTGATGCGTCCGCGCTTTGTAGAGTGCCAGCTGATGAAGACAGAGCGGCCCCGGCCCAACACGTTCGTCATTCGATGTCTGCAGTGGACCTCGGTGATTGAGCGGACCTTTCATGTAGACACCAAGGAGGAGAGGTAAAAGGCTCATTTTTCTGTCCAAAATTGACCTGAGTGAAAAAGACAAAGTCTGAGATGTTTGTAGCATCTGAAAATCAAATGCACGTATGAGCAGACATTCTTTTTACGCTCCAAAATATTTTCTTTCTATACTCAGTCATCAGAAAAATAAGATAAACATTTTCTGTAGTGATGACCCGAACTTTTAATGTTCGAACACGGGGGTGGGCCATGTTACAGATTCACTCTGATCAGATTAATTCAATTATTATTTTTGCAAACCTCGAGTCAGAGCAGTAGCTGCAGCGTTTCAGTCGTTTAAATTTAAATCATCAGGAGTTTAATTCTTGTCGGACAACATGTTCATCTTACATTCAGGAAACTCTTCTGTGCTCACGGTGTTTGGTATCTAGAAGGAGGGGGAAGAATCAAAGTGAGTGACACGTTTCTTAAGAATGAGAGTTTGGTTTCGAAGAAAACCGAGAGCAGCTGTTCAAAATTTTCAGGGAAGATGTTGAACAAAACACGGTTTTCTGACGAACATGTCTTGAAAGCTCTGCCACAAACAGTAGCTGTACCACAAGTTTCATCCATCATCTGAAACACAGTAGCGCACTAAGTAAATACACCCCTCACATTTATGTAAATATTTTATTATATCTTTTCATGGGTCAACACTGAATATATGACACTTTGATACAATGTAAAGTAGTCCGTTTACTGCTTGTATAACAGTGTAAATTTACTGTCCCCTCAAAATAACTCAACACAGCCATTAACGTCTAAACCACTGACAACAAAAGAGAGTACACCCCTAAGAGAAACTGCCCAACTTGTGCCCAATTAACCATTTTCCCTCCCCAGTGTCATGTGACTTGGTAGTGTTACAGTCTCAGACGTGAATGGGGAGCAGGTGTGTTAAATTCAGTGTTATTGCTCTCACACTCTCTCGTACTGGTTACTTGAAGTTCAACTTGGCACCTCGTGGCAAAGAGCTCTCCGAGGATCTGAATAAAAGAATTGTTGCTCTACATAAAGATGGCCTAGCCCTAGGCTATAAGACGATTGCCAACACCCTGAAACTGAGCTGCAGCACGGTGGCCCAGACCATACAGCAGTTTTAATGGGACAGGTTCCACTCGGAACAGGCGTCATCATGAGTGCACGTGCTCTGCCTCATATCCAGAGGTTGTCTATTGAAAATTGACGTATGACTGCTGCCAGCATTGCTGAACACTTTTGGCACACTTGTGGGCTGTCGTCCCAGAAGAGACCCTCTACTAAAGTTGATGCACAAGAAATCCCACAAACTGCTGAAGACGAACAGAACAAGGACATGGATTACTGGAACCATGTCCTGTGGTCTGATGAGACCATGATAAACTTATTTGGTTCAGATGGTGTCAAGCTTGTGTGGCAGCAACCAGGTGAGGAGTGCAAAGACCAGTGTGTCTTGCCTACAGTCAAGCATGGTGGTGTGAGTGTCATGGTTTGGGGCTGCGTGAGTACTGCTGGCTGTGAGGAGCTACAGTTCATTGAGGGAACCATGAATGCCACATGCACTGTGACATACTAAAGCAGAGCATGATCCCCTCCCTTTGGAAATTGGGCTGCAGGGCAGTATTCCAACCCCAAGACGAACACTGCCTTGCTAAAGAAACTGAGTGTAAAGGTGCTGGACTGGCCAAGCATGTCTCCAGACCTAAACCCTATTGAACATATGTGGGGCACCTTCAGACAGAAGGTGGAGGAGTGTAAGGTCTCTAACATCCACCAGCTCCGTGATGTCATCATGGAGGAGTGGAAGAGGATTCCAGTGGCAACCTGTGGAGCTCCATGCCCAAGAGAGTTGAGGCAGTGCTGGAGAATAACGGTGGCTACGCAAAATATTAACATTATGGGCATTTTCTCTTAGGGGTGCACTCTCTTTTGTTGCCAGTGGTTTACACATTAATGACTGTATGTGGAGTTATTTTGAGCGGGCAGCAAATTTTCACTGTTATACAAGCTGTACACTGTCAACTTTATCAAAGTGTCATATCTTTAGAGTTGTCCCATGAAAAGATATATAATAAAATATTTACAAAAATGTGAAAGGTCTTTGAGATACTGTATGTCAGTATTAAAACCATACCACACTGCAACATCTTGTCTTCCAGCCATGAGCTCATTTACAGCTGTCTCTCCTCATTCCTCCTCCTTTTGGAGTCAAAATCTAATAATAGGAGTAATAACACTCCAAATATGAATCCAGCTTCTATTAAATCATACCTGGGACACAGGTTCCTCTTTCTGTCTGACATGCACAATAAGTCAAATATGTTTAAAGTCACACCCTGTGAGATGAACTTTAATTTGTCGAACTAGTCCCATACATAAAACAAATCCACAGTAACAAAATCCATCTTTACAGACACAACTCTTGGTGGAGTTGAAGGAACGGAAAGGTGGGGGAAAAAAATCTACGGTAATTTAGACTCTTGATTCAAAGATTGAGCTGCCTGGTTTGTTTTTGTTCTCGAACCTTGTCAGAGTTGTCCCATGTGGTCTCCACACAATCCTGCTTCTATGATTCGTTGTTAGAAACATGAGTAGCTTTATTTACTCTAATTTACAAAGGTTTGAAGTCTGTTCATGTTAAATGTCTGAAAACTAGACGACTAAATAAAGAGCTGACGGCTTAGGAGCACAATGAGTATCTTCACCTGCTTAGGAGCGCAGCTTCCACAGTCAAAATAAAAACTAACTTTATATAGATTTTCTTCTTTTGGATGCAAAGAAAACAGTAGGAGGGTGTATTTGATTTGTTATTGATGCTATTTTACTGTAAAGTTGACATTTTGTGGTTTAGAGCAGATTTTAAAACGTCTAACTATAAATTGTTTTTTCTTTTTTGCGATAACCCCCAAAATTTCAGTTCTAGGTCATTTCACCCAGATTTGAGTGGAAACACATCTGTAGGTGTGTTATTTTAAATTTAACCAACTTATTGCGAACACATTAATTTTAGGCCATTGTTCTAAATGGGGAGTGGTGGTGCAGAGGTTAGAGGTGGTGAGCCTGTGATCGGAAGGTTGCTGGTTCAACTCCCTGAACCAACAACAACAAAATGTGGGTGTAAAAGGTGAAACACCCACACCTGTCTCTACCTTTATTTGCCCCAATCTGGACCCTTGAGTAAAACCACCATCTACTCTCCCGGGCACTCTAGATGTCAGCTCTCTGCTCCACACAGAGGATTGTGGTAGCTCTGTGGTCTGTGGTTGTGTCAGGAAGGACATCTGTCATAAAATAAACAATCGCCAAGTCTTTGTGCGAGTTAGTTCGCTGTGACCCTGAAGAAGGGAGCAGCTGAAAGTAAAAAAAAAAAAGTTTGCAATGATTTTTAGGAAACTTCATTAATGCAGAATCCGTTCAAAGCAGTTTCACTATTGAAGACCAGGTTTGAAGGCAGTAAGAGCAAAAAAGACACACTTTACTAGAAAAATGTGCATTTCCTGAGAGTATGCAGTACAAATGCTTACAGCTAAATGATTTAGCGAAAAACTGCTTAAAAGGCTGAAGCTTAGCTGAAAATTAGAAAGATGAAGCTCGAAGAAGGACAAAAAGCAGAGAAAAAAAAATGCAGAAAAAAGTTAAATTGGCAACAAAAAAAACGCAAGAAAAACAAAGTGAAATGAGCAGACAAAGCTAAAACAACGCTGAAAAAGCTTTTTTAAAAGCTGAAATTAATGGACGAGACTGGAAAAAAGCACCAAAACAAAATTATTCGAAAGAATCACAATAGGTGAAAATTAGCAGGCAAAAAGGCAGAAAAAAGGCTAAAATTAGCAACAACAACAAAAAATCCAAAAAGTTGCAAAAAAATTTTTTTAAATAAACCAGCTGATTTTAGCAGAAAGAAATACATAAAGACCAAAGGAGAAGCTGAAATGAGCAGTAAAAGTTTTAAACATCTTGAAGACTAAAAGGATTTGAAGAGAGCTGAGACATCTTCCATCATCAAAGTCACAGCAGGAATGTCCTGAATGAGCTGAACGTTTTGATTCACTAATTGTTGAACCAGAACAAAAACTGCAGGATGAGTTACAAGCTGAAAAATGTACGGAAGAAAAACGGATCTCAATGAGAATGAATCAGAAACATTCAGACTGTAACAGAGGGCCTGCAGGGACCAAATGTGGTCAGAGCCATTTAGGTTACGAGAACAGGAGCATCCGTCAGGTTGAGTTTTGTTCACGTCGACTCCGCCAAGAACCAAATCCCAGAAGCCCCCTGCAGCAGCCACACAGATCAACCTCTACACTTTCAACACAAAGCCAATACTTTCTAAGAACAAGCATTTTTATACGCCTGTCAAACGTGGGACATATTCTATTATAGTCTCCGATTTTACTTGTGCAAAAGTTTCTCTTGTCCCCTCCATAACGTCTGATAATTTAATAAAACTTTATACAAGGGATGCTCCGATCAGGTTTTTTGCTGCCGATACTGTTCACACATGGTGCAGATCACTGATACCAATCACAAATACAATCACATGGATTGGCTGTAAACATTTTTGATTTAAGATGAATGCTGCTTGCTACGTGATCTGGAAAATAGGAACCATAAAATCATCTTAATTTGAACAAAAACATGTTTTAATTAACTTTTTCAAGACAAAAAGTATATAAAAAAAAAACGTGCAGGCACAATACAGCAACTATTCAGTCAAAAGGACAACTGAAAAACACTTAAATGACCTGCTATCAGTAACACAATCTTTAACAAACGGAAAACATCAAAGGATAAATAGTGCAGAAAGGCAAATAAATCTCAAAACATTGCTTAAATATATATATATATGTATATATGTATATATATATATATATATATATATATACCTACCTACCTACCTACCACCGGACCTCTGCAGGCTGCAAAGGTGATCAGTTTTTTTGTGATCGGCACTGAAAGGCATCGATCGGTATCGGACGATCACTTTTTTTTTTTTACGAAAATCGGCCGATCATGATCGGTGTCCGATCAATCATAACATCTCTACTTCATACCCAGGACATCCTTGTAAAATATATTAATAATCTCAATAGATTTCTTCCTGGTAAAATAAAGTTTTTTTAATAATAATAATACACAAATGGATCATCTAGACGGTGTTGTTTGTGCAGGTCATTGTTATAGATTGCTGTGTAACAGTTGACAGGCGTATAATAATGTGCAGTGTGTGGTACAGTAGTCCCTCGTTTATCGCGGGGGTTCCGTTTCCAGCCCCCGGCGATAAGTGAAAAACCATGAAGTGGAAATAGTGGTACAAGTAGTTGTAGTAAGTTGTAGTTTATTTTAGTATTTATAGCTATATATTAAGGTGTTTTAAACCCTTCCCACACTCTTGCAATGGTCTAAACATCCATCCATTATCTTTTACCCGCTTCTTCCATTTTGGGCCACGGGGGTCGCTGGCGCCCACGTCCAGCATTCACTGTGCGATTGGAGGGGTACACCCTGGACGGGTCGCAAGTCCATCACAGGGACACATTGTAAACAATGTTTCTAGACTCTAAATGCTCTAAAACAGCACAGAATGTCATGATCTCTGCCACGCCCACTTCTCCGCTGCAATCGCTGGGAGTTGGCAGAGATCATGACATGCTGCAGGAGGGAGCTTCTCCCTGCGCCTGTGGGCTGCACACAGGTGCAGCAGGTGCTAAATCATTTAAAATACTGTATTTTATTTAGAAACCAGATTCCAAAAAAGTTGGGACACTAAACAAATTGTGAATAAAAACTGAATGCAATGATGTGGAGATGGCAAATGTCAATATTTTATTCGTAATATAACATAGATGACAGATCAAAAGTTTAATCTGAGTAAATGTAACATTTTAAAGGAAAAATATGTTGATTCAAAATTTCACAGTGTCAACAAATCCCAAAAAAGTTGGGACAAGTAGCAATAAGTGGCTGGCAAAAGGAAATTGAACATATAACGAACAGCTGGAAGACCAATTAACACTAATTAGGTCAATTGACAACATGATTGGGTATAAAAAGAGCTTCTCAGAGTGTCAGTGTCTCTCAGAAGCCAAGATGGTAAGAGGATCACCAATTCCACCATTGTTGCGCAGAAAGATAGTGCAGCAATACCAGAATGGTGTTACCCAGCGTAAAATAGCAAAGACTTTTAAGTTATCATCATCAACCGTGCATAACATCATCAAAAGATTCAGAGAATCTGGAACAATCGCTGTGCGTAAGGGTCAAGGCCATAAAACTCTACTGGATGCTCGTGATCTCCGGGCCCTTAAACGCCACTGCACCTCAAACAGGAATGCCACTGTCAAGGAAATAACAGAATGGGCTCAGGAATACTTCCAGAAAGCATTGTCAGTGAACACAATCCACCATGCAATCCACCGTTGCCAGCTGAAACTGTACAGTGCAAAGAGGAAGCCATTTCTAAGCAAGCTCCACAAGCTCAGACGTTTGCACTGGGCCAGGGGTCATTTTAAATGGAGTGTGGCAAAATGGAAGACTGTTCTGTGGTCAGATGAGTCACGATTTGAAGTTCTTTATGGAACACTGGGACACCATGTCATCCAGACCAGAGAGGACAAGGATAGCCCAAGTTGTTATCAACGCTCCGTTCAGAAGCCTGCATCACTGATGGTATGGGGTTGCATGAGCGCTTGTGGCATGGGCAGCTTGCATGTCTGGAAAGGCACCATTAATGCAGAGAACTATGTTCAGGTTCTAGAACAACATATGCTCCCATCTAGACGTCATCTCTTTCAGGGAAGACCCTGCATTTTTCAACACGATAATGCCAGACCACATTCTGCAGCAATCACAACATCATGGCTACGTAGGAGAAGGATCCGGGTACTGAAATGGCCGCCTGCAGTCCAGATCTTTCACCTATAGAGAACATTTGGCGCATCATAAAGAGGAAGGTGCGACAAAGAAGGCCCAAGACGATTGAACAGTTAGAGGCCTGTATTAGACATGAATGGGAGAGCATTCCTATTTCTAAACTTGAGAAACTGGTCTCCTCTGTCCCCAGACGTCTGTTGAGTGTTGTAAGAAGAAGGGGGGATGCCACACAGTGGTAAAGATGGACTTGTCCCAACTTTTTTGGGATTTGTTGACACTGTGAACTTTTGAATCAACATATTTTTCCTTTAAAATGTTGCATTTACTCAGATTAAACTTTTGATCTGTCATCTATATTATATTACAAATAAAATATTGACATTTGCCATCTCCACATCATTGCATTCAGTTTTTATTCACAATTTGTTTAGTGTCCCAACTTTTTTGGAATCCCGTTTGTAAAATAAACAATCCATGCTGCTTGTGCAGCTCATCCATCAATCAGCCAGTTGTGTGTCATGTCCAGTCCTACTTTGAAAAAAACTGCGAAAGAGCAAGTCCGTTAAGTAGTGAGTGACTACTGTACTCTCGTTGTAAAATAATGTGGTGTTTGTACAGTTGAACGTGTATCTTGAAGGAACACAGATTCAAGAGTCATAAAACAGATTTTTTACACAGAAGCCTTGCTGCTGTGACATTTAGGGTTCTTTAGGCGTGAGATCAGATTTGATAAGGTCACTGTGTGCCTCCTTCTGGCCCAGGGAGGAGTGGATGCGAGCCATCCAGGCGGTGACAAACAGCCTGAAGAGTCAGCAGCAGGAAGAGGAACCCATGGAGATCAAATTTGGCTCGCCGAGTGACAGCAGCGGCACCGAGGAGATGGAGATCGCCATGTCCAAATCCCGTACAAAAGTGGTCAGTATTTACAGGAGCAGCGCCCGGCAGCTGAGTGCGTGCTGTTCGTCCTGTTAAGCTCGTCTTTACTGAGCTTGTTGATCAAACTTTAAGCCTCTTTTTCATAGGCGGTGGGGGTCAATCCCTTTTAAAATGACAGAACAACGTTATTGGTGCATGTTTAATAATGCAGTTTATACACCACTGGAGCTGCTTTTGATCCTTTATTTTCTAAAAGAAAATTTAGCCTTTTTTTTTAATAATGACCTGAAAACATTGTCTTCTTTACACACAAACTTTTCTTTAAAGACGGGTCACATTTTTGCCTAACTTTGATTCGTGTCTCTTTCAGACCATGATCGACTTTGACTACCTGAAGCTGTTGGGCAAAGGGACTTTTGGCAAAGTGATCCTGGTGAAGGAGAAAGCCACAGGGATGTACTACGCCATGAAAATCCTTCGTAAAGAAGTCATCATTGCTAAAGTCAGTGCCCACGCGCCACCTTAAAGTCTTCAAGTGAAGCTGAGTGTCAGTTTGGTTCCACGTTCTTCCACTTCTCACTGTGTGTGCTGAACGTGTGTGTGTTCCTGCAGGACGAGGTGGCTCACACAGTCACAGAGAGCAGAGTTCTCCAAAACACCAAACATCCCTTTCTAACGGTGGGTACTTCTCGTAGTGTAACTAAAACGTTAGTTCATCCCTGTCGAAAGACGTCTGTAAACCTCTTGTCCTGCCCATAACGTCTGCTCCACTCAAGATCATTTAATGAATCTTTGTACACGTATGCATCATCACTAAACGGAGTGTCGTGTTGTTCATCTGTTCACTGTTCATCACCCCAACTCCAAGGTCAAGGCCACAAATCAAGGTCAAAGTTAAAACAAGGTCTTTTCTCGTCCGGACCATAACTTCACGTACAGTAGTCCCTTGATTATCGCGGGGGTTACGTTCCACACACCACCGCGATAGATGAAAAACTGCGAAGTAGGAACACAATTTATTTAAGTATTTATATTTTAAGGCTTTATAAACCCTTCCCACACTCTTTCAATGCTCTAAACCAGGGTGTCAAACTCACTCACAAACTGGGGCCACAATTAAAACATTTTTCAAACTAATGGCCAATTTCAGAAATTACATGAACTCAAATCAGATACTCAACATCTTTTCTTGGTCACAGGTTCCTCAACAAGAGTTTGGTTTGTCTCATTTGATGTTCTCTGTTGTGCTTTCAACATCATAATCAAAGATTACTGAAAAAATTCAAGATTTAGAAGTATTTTACCTGTCGCATATCATCTTGAGGGCCTGATAAGATGTCAACGAGGGCCACATTAGGCCCCTGGGCCTTGAGTTTGATACACATGATCTAAACTCTTAAACCAACATAATCCTAACAACATACATATATGTACTGTACAGTACTGCAAAAATTTACTCACCATCTCTGCAGAACAGCAGCTCGGTTCCTGTCAGGCTCGGTTCTGGTTCTGCAGACCTACCCTGCTGCATGAAGTCCACCGCCCCGTCCAGGTTGATGTGCACGTGGATAATGGAGCTTCAGGATTAACTTTACTGCCAGTTCTGTGAGCTTCATAGATCGATCGTTACTTCTGACTTTGCGTTGCAAAACGTTCCCTCCATTTCAGCAGAAAGCAGCAGCTTGAAGCACTGTTGGCTTCTGGGTAGTGTAGTTCTTTTGACTTGCTTTACAGTGTGGGCTTATTGAAAGAAAACTACAAAATGGTGGCGCCTGTCCAAAGTATTTTTTTGTTAATTTTTGATCCCGTACCGTCCCAATCACGTGAGTAATATTAAAATTGACAATCGTGTGTTGTGTACAATCTTTAGAAAAACCGTGAAAGAGCAAGTCCGCGAAAGTCAAAACTGTGAAGTAGCGAGGGACTACTGTGAACAAAAGGAACAGTATACCGTGTTTAGAATCACATCACATGTGTTTTAGTATCCTGGTTATCATTTTTAAAATTGAAGCGACGATAAAGAATCTACCGCTGTTTATGTTGAACACCTGTTTTCTTCCTCAAGGGGCAGACTAGATGTAACGACGTCATAACAATGTGCCTAAGAAGAAAGAGTACATCATCAGCAAAGCACAGCTGTGGATTATCACATATGCATATATAGTTAAAGAGATTCCAACAAATGATTAATGTGCTTATTAATAAATTTAACAGCAGAGGTCGTGGGAAATGGATGACATTATGTACAAGTTTGTGAGGATTTGCAAGAATAATGATGTCACATTACACTGAGATCTGATTAATCACTGCAATAATTTATTATGTGGCTTTGGCTAAATGAAAACTCTGGGGTGATCTTCAGAGACACACGCGTCTCAGAGACCACACTGAGGCCGACGACCAACACACGATGGGTGTCTGGTGTTGGTAATGTGATAAATGTTGCATCTGCCGCATGGCCACAAAACTAAGGTCAAAGTTTACAGCCTGCAAGTGTTTTTGAAATCCTCCTGGATAGGGGTTGAACAAGTATATAATTTTTAAACTCGACATTAACATAATAAAACCCGAGTAGAACTCGAGTATTTGATGACGTCATAGATCTCAAGATACAAAAATAAATAAAACCGCAAAAAAAGGTCATTATTTACAAAAAAAAAGACCAACAAAACATTGGGAGCGTATATTATGCTCCCACCATTTATCATACTGCAAATAAGTCACAGGAAAAACTAAACTAGTAGTTATTATTATTAAACTGCAAACGTGAAGAAACGCAGCACGTCAAAAACGAAACTTAAACCGAAGCTGGTTCTGGTTGGGTGGATTGGACCCGGTGTTACACCATACTCTGTGACCTGCAACAGTGCAACACCGCCCCCTACGGTCATACGGTGGTCACATAATATGACGTCACTACGGATACCCCACGTAACATTTTTAACCTCGATAGATGTCCTAGCAATCGATGTGTAGATTACTCGAGTACTCTGTTAATGCCCTACTCCTGGAGTCACCATTTATGAAAAACACGTTGCTCAAAGTTCATATTTCATGGAGATAATCGAGTCATTGCTACAGAATGCTGTTTTAACAGTTTGTTGATGGACGTTACCATATTTTTATTCTTCATCTCTTGCAGACACTAAAGTATGCATTTCAAACAAATGACCGGTTATGCTTCGTGATGGAGTATGCAAACGGAGGAGAAGTAAGAGTTTACTTTTGTTTCCCCATGTGAAGTTTAAAATAATAATAATAAAAGAGTCTGTTGTTAGTTTAACAAAAGGTCATGGCATTGTATCAGTTTAAGGCTTGAAATTTTTCTTTTAAATTATCTGGTAGCAGTCAGATGTGAACATGTTGAGGAATTAAAAGGATATTCTGCTCATTTTGAATGAGGGTTCTATGAAAAAGTGATGTAAAAAATAATATACAGATTCAACAACACAGCAGACAGCTTGAATTCAGCATATTGCTGCTACCTTAAAACAGCTTTAATGTAAAAAAAAAAAAAACCTGCTCTTGCAAACTGTATTTTTTAGTAGACCTTTAAAAAGTAAATTCTGCCATAAATATTTATTTATATAACATTTTATGGTTATTTTCAAGTTCAAATGGTTGCAGCATCATAAGGTGATACATCCTGTTCAGACTGTTTTCAGTTCTGGTAGAACTATCGTAACTTTTCTGCTGAAATAATCGTGTAATGATCAATTAACAGTGATGTAAAGGTTTAAATAAGAGTGGAGCTGTTTTCAAATGGGAGCAGTCCGCTTTGATCTTGGCTGCATTTCATCTAGACTCAAAGTGACAAAACTTCAGTTTCATCATGTGCCAGACTGCACGATAAGCTCTGATATTTATAATAAAACAAACAAAACTCCTTGGCAACACACACACACACACATATATATATATATATATATATATATGTATATATATATATATATATATGTGGGTGCGTATTTAACTTGTATTTTGATCCTCTTGCAGCTCTTCTTTCACTTATCCCGGGACAGAGTATTCACTGAAGATAGAGCACGATTCTACGGTGCAGAAATAGTATCAGCACTGGAGTATCTACATTCACGCAATGTGGTTTACAGGGACTTGAAGGTAACAGTGTTTTGTTTATTCAAAGCAGTGAAAAGTTCTCCTGGCAGAAGGTCTTAGATCAGGAGTGTAATATTAAACTAGCGTTCAGCACAGATCTTCAGGTTGTAATTAAATCTAAGAAGTATTGGTGGCTTTCAGAAATGGTCAGTTCTTGTTTGTTTTCCTGCTGCAGCTCTCGGCTGATTTGTTGCTAAACTGAATCTTTTTCTGTGCAGCTTGAGAACCTCATGTTAGACAAAGATGGCCACATAAAGATAACGGACTTTGGGCTGTGTAAAGAGGGCATCACAGACGGCGCTACCATGAAAACCTTCTGTGGAACCCCAGAGTACCTGGCCCCAGAGGTAAATCCATACAAACATTGTTTAGTGGTGGAGCTACGAGAGCAGAGCAGGAGCTTATTAGATTCACTTGAAATGGAAATTCTTTGAACAATGTGTTTATTTGTTTTTGTCTGTTCTTGTCCCCATCAGGTTCTGGAGGACAATGACTATGGACGTGCAGTGGACTGGTGGGGACTGGGAGTAGTGATGTATGAGATGATGTGTGGTCGGTTGCCGTTCTACAACCAGGACCACGAGCGCCTGTTTGAGCTGATCCTGATGGAGGAGATCCGCTTCCCCAAGAGCCTGGCCCCAGAGGCCAAGGCTCTGCTGGCAGGCCTGCTTAAAAAAGATCCCAAGCAAAGGTGTGCACCCAGCTGGCTTTACCTCTTAACAAGGACCCTTTAATAAGCACGGGTTTCCTAAGTGTTTGTCCCGGGGATGTTTTGAAAAGTCTCTCCATATGTTGTGTTGACAGACTGCAGGGGAGTGTAGAAAAGGACAATAAGATCAGATTTTAGTTGTTCAAACATATTTGTTGTATAAATGAGTACATGTTCTGAAGACGTTGTCCCGCTTAAGAAAACCTTTCTTCCTGGGATTTCGCACATCGCGAGTGCTGCTGTTTATTTGTTTTCTAAGTCTGTACCGCTCTTTGAGGCCCCTCGTATTCGTCTATATAAAGTAACCCTGTTATCGAAGCCCATGTTCCTTTTTTATTAGTTTTGGTTTAGGGGCAATGGCCTTAAACAAGGATGTAATTGTTTGTTGTTTTGGTGAAGACCCGTGTTTCTGGTAATGACAGAAGAACTAATATTAGCACATGGAGCTCTGCCTGCAGGCGTCCAACACAAGCTGTGCTAGCACGGAAATTACCCATTAACTTGTTTACAAATGGGTAAATATTGCTGCTTGCTGTGTATGTCTTGTAGATGTTTATTTATAGCTTGTGCAGTGGTGGTGATGGTCATTTTGTGCTGTTTACAGGCTCGGAGGTGGACCAGACGACGCCAAAGAAGTGATGACCCACAAGTTTTTCACCTCCATCAACTGGCAGGATGTTATTGAGAAAAAAGTGAGATGGAAACAAACAAACGATGTGACGTTTAAAGCGAGACAATCTTTCTGAACACAATTGATTTTCTCTATTTCCTCAGCTTATTCCCCCCTTCAAGCCGCAGGTGACATCAGAGACGGACACTCGTTACTTTGACGATGAGTTCACAGCACAATCTATTACAATTACCCCTCCAGACAAATGTAAGTAGGTTCATCTATGACAGGGGGGTGCGATTGGACAAATATAGACTCTCAGGGGTAGTTTTATATTATTTTTTTTATAAAGGGATCTCTATCCTATTGGAACAATAGATCATATTTGATAAATGGTTACTTCAGAAAAAAAAAGAACCCATTAAAAAACTGTAGGCTGTGTAGATTTTATTATAGTTAAAAATAAATGAATGATATATGGACGTCAACATTTTATTTACACTCCAATGCATTCTGGGTAAATGACATGGACAGGCTGCTCTGGTGTGAGCTCCATTCAGCTTGAATATTAATTTTGTACCCTGATGCATGTTCAATAATCCAGGTAGAAAAATCTAAAAAAAGTTAAATCGGGTCCTCTGGACATTCAAAAAACAAAACAACGACGACAACAAAAATGTAGAAACATCAACAAATGTAGTTTCATCTTTCATCCGAGAGACTTCCTCAGTCTCTTAAATAGCACCTTCTCAGTGGATCAACCAGTTTGCTGCTGACAACCAAAACCAGCTGATCACATGATCAAGAAGGACCATCAGCCTAACAATGGATCATTAGCACACTGATGGCTGTTTACTGTTCACAGAGGGCTGAATGATACTAGCAATCACAGCATTGTAAGAGGGGGACAGTTGAACCCGGAGGCCTCCACCCCTGTTTAATGATGGACGATTTCTTTTCACAAAGATGGCCTCCTTTACTCCTCTCTCAAACCATCGTTTCTCTCTATCCAGGATGTGAACATCTTCATCCCTGAAAGAATGACCACTGGCCACTTTTTGTTGTTTTGCTTTGTTTTGTTTTTTGAATGTCCAGAGGACCAGATTTAACTTTTTTAGTTAATTTTGTACATTTGATGCGGAGAGAACATATAATAATAATAATTATTATTATTATTATTTTATTTAAAAAGTGCCTTTCAGGACACCCAAGGACACTTTACAGTAAGAACAAAGATCAACAGGAATAAATTACATAAAGAATATAAAGTACATAAAGAATATAAAATACATACAGAATATAAAATGCATAAAGAATATAAAATACATACAGCAAAGTTAAGGATAAGCGAGTCTAAAGAGATGTGTTTTCAGAGCAGTCTTGAATAGAGAAAGAGAGGTGGTGTTTCGTAAGTCAGTGGGTAGAGAGTTCCAGAGATGAGGGGCAGAGCAGGTGAAGGCCCTGCTCCCCATGGTGGAGAGGCGGGCAGAGGGTACATGGAGGTGTAGTGAAGAGGAGGATCTGAGAGAGCGAGAGGGGATGGAGATGTGTAGGAGGTCAGATAGGTACGGAGGGGCAAGGTTGTGGATAGCTTTGAAAGTGAGAAGAAGAATTTTGAAGACGATGCGTGATTTAACCGGGAGCCAGTGGAGCTGCTGCAGGACTGAAGTGATGTGGTTATAGGAGGAGGTTTGAGTGATGACACGGGCAGCTGAGTTCAGGACCAATTGCAGCTTCTGGAGAGATTTGTTGGGGAGGCCATAAAGAAAGGAGTTGCAGTAGTCAATCCGAGAAGTCACAAGACTGTGCACAAGGATGGCTGTGGAGTGGGTTGTGAGAGAAGGGCGGAGACTGTTAATATTTCGGAGATGGAAATAGGCAGACAGAGGGACATTGTTGATGTGAGAAGTGAAGGAGAGAGTGGTGTCGAGGATGACACCAAGACTCTTGACCTGAGGCGAGGGGGATAGCAGAGAGTTGTTAAGGGGGATGAGAAGATTTTCTGATTTTGAAATAGAGTTTTTGGTATCGACAAGAATGATTTCTGTTTTGTCATTGTTTAGTTGTAGGAAATTGTTAGAAAACCAGTGATTTAGCTCATTGAGACAGTCGGTGAGGATGGAGGGTGGGTGGGTGGAGTTTGGTTTTGTTGACAAGTAGAGCTGTGTGTCATCAGCATAACAGTGAAAATGGACACCAAATTTACGGAAGATGTGACCTAGAGGAAGGAGGTAAATGATGAAGAGGAGGGGTCCGAGGACAGAGCCTTGGGGGACACCCGTGGAGACGGGGGAAGACTGGGAACGAAAGGATTTGAGCTGAATGAATTGAGTGCGGTCAGAGAGATATGATTTAAACCATTCTAACGGAGTACCTGAGATGCCAATGGAGGTTAGTCTGTTGAGGATAGAATGACAGATTGTGTCGAAGGCAGAACTTAGATCCAGTAAAATGAGGATAGACAGAAGAGCAGAGTCAGCAGCAAGAAGAAGGTCATTAGTTATTTTTATTAGAGCTGTTTCGGTGCTATGGTGGGGCGAAAACCAGATTGAAACTCTTCATAAATGTTATTGTTGGATAGGTGAGAGTGAAGTTAACTAGCAACGGCTTTTTCAAGAACTTTGGAAATAAAGGGCAGAATAGAGATTGGACGAAGATTACTGAAGTTGGTAAAGTCAAGACCTGGTTTCTTGATGATGGGGGTGATGGCTGCAGATTTGAAAGCTGTGGGAACAATGCCAGTAGTTAGGGAGGAGTGGATGATGTTAGTAATGATGGGGAGCAGAGACGGGAGACAGGATTTAACAAGAACTGTGGGAAATGGATCGAGCTGACAGGATGAGGCCTTAGACTTGCTGATAATGTCAGCAATGTCATGAGCAGAGGGGAGGGAGAAGACAGAGAAGGGAAGGGAGGGGGGAGTTCAACATAGATGCTGGGGGCGGCATTAGGTCCAAGGTGTTTATGAATTGAAAGAATCTTTTCATTGAAATAAGACATCAGAGAGTTGCAAAATTCTGTGGAAACCATGTGAGAGGGTAATGAGTTAGGAGATGAGACTGAACGGTTAAGGAGAGAGAACAAAGTCTTTGAATTGCCAACATTGGAACTGATGATGTCAGAGAAGTAGCTGGATTTGGCTTGAGAAATACTGTCCTTATACTGGATGACGTGGTTCGCATAGAGTTCCTTGTGAATTGAGAGACCGGATTTCTTATAGAGTCGCTCCAACCTCCGACCTTTGGATTTCAGAGAACGGAGTTCTGGAGTGAACCAGGGTGCAGAGTTGGAGAAGGAGACAGACCGGGTTTTCAGAGGAGCGACAGAGTTAAGAAAGTTGGTGAGGCTGTTATTGTAGAATGTGACATGGTCATCTGGGTTAAAAGAATTGAAGGTGAAGATGGTATTATTAATATGAGACAAAAGAATGTCATGATTGATATTCTTAATATTACGGAAGGAAAGAGTGTGTTGAGGTTTCTCTGAAGAAAATTTAAGATTGACACTGAATGAAATCATGAGGTGATCAGTAAATGGAAGTTCATCAGAAGAACAGTTAAGAGGAGAGAGTCCAGAGCAGCATAATAAGTCCAAAGTGTGGCCCTTTATGTGGGTTGGAAAGTTAATGAACTGCTGGAAGCCACAGCTGTCGAGGCAGGATGTGAAGTCTCTGGTGAGGCGATTGTTGTCTTCACCCATATGAATGTTGAAGTCTCCAAGTAGAATAATGTTGGGTGAAAGAGCTGAGAGATGGGCTATTAGAGCAGCAAAGCCATTTATAAAAGAGTTGTTGATTTTGGGCAGACGGTAGAAAGTGGCAATAATGGTGGGGGTAGGGCCGGAGAGTAGACACACAGTGTGCTCAAAGGAGGGAGAGGGAGTTGTGTGAACCGGCGTGACCTTCCAGTTCTTGCGGTGAATTATCGCGAGACCTCCTCCGCAGCCGGACTCGCGGGATTTGGCGATGTAAACAAACCCCGGTGGGGTAGATTCATTCAGGTGGAAAAAGTCATTTTGTTGTTGCCACGTTTCTGTTAGACAAATAAAATCTAGCTTACGGTCGGATATTAGGTCTTGAATAAGCTGACATTTGCCAGTGAGTGAACAAACGTTCAGAAGGCCAAATTTTACGGAGGAGGAGTTGGTAGCGACCGGAGCATTAGCTGACCGAGCTAGGCTAGCTAACATGCTACTACTGTTAGCGGCCCGAGTATTGCGGCGTGTAGAATGGTGAGAGTCAGACCAGATGGAGTTTATTGGGTTACACTTGTCAGCGTGGAGTCTACTGCGGGAGCCACGGTGAATGGATCTCCGGCGAGGATGGAAGGCAATGTCCTGAAGAGGGAGCACAGGTGGCACGGCTGGTAGGAAACGAAGGCAAAGGAGCTCGACCGCTGAGTAATGGAGAAGACCGGACGCCGGTGGTGGTGGATGAGCAGCTGGAGAGTCCAAAGCAGAGCAGGCAGCAGGTAAATCCTAATGAACCGCATGGTTGATATTGAGACGGATCAGAGACTTGGTGTAGTGGAAAAGGCAGGAAGGACTGAATAAAACAGAAAAAAGCAGGACGAGCAGCGGCAGCCAGGATGCGCCAGCATTTGCTCACCGGAAGGAAGGGAGTTTATGACCAAACCATATCTATATATACCGTATTTTCCGTCCGACGCGTCGCTCCGCCCAATAAGTTGCTCCGCCCAATAAGTCACATCAGTCCATATTTGTCTAATAAAGTGGAAAAATCCATAAATATGTCACTTCGTCGTGTACGTTGCATATGTTACGCGTCACCGCTGACGTGTCACGTTCGTTACGCGTCACCACGGACAACCCGGAAATGTGGGCCGGTGTGCTAAAAATATATTGGCTGCCAAATGGTGGCCGCAGGAGCGTGTACGGGAGGACTTCAACAAGAATTTAACAAAATTAACACTTAAAACCAATTATTTGTTTGCTCAAAATTATAGTAAATGTGTGTCTCAGCCTAACATTTGCTTAATAAATGCACTTTGACGGTCAAATCAGCTGCAATTCAAAACCCGATAGGCAGAAGTAAACTTGTGCACGCAATGAGTTACTGTGCAAATTTAACAAGATAAACACCCCAAAACAATTGTTTGTTTGCTCGAAATTATAGTAAATATGTGTCTCAGTCTACCATTTATTTAATAAATGCACTTTAATGGTCAAATCAGCTGAAATTTAAAAATAGTTTTGCTGCCTCTGTGCTCCCGGGAGCGCTCAGAGAGAGGAAAAAAGGAAGAGCGTGG